CAACATTTATTAAATGTAGGAAATTCGGTAGTACATTCGAGAACATCACAAATTACTCCGAATCTTTTCAGTGTATTAAATCTTCAACGTCCAAATTTAGCATCCCAATCTCTTGGACCAACAGGAGGATTGAGGAGTAGACGACCTGCAGTTACAAATGCTCAACACTTACTTAATATAGGTAATTCAATAATACAGCCACAAACATCTTTAAATATTCCAGCTCTTGGTAATACCATTGGTTCTCAGAGACCGCCTCTACTAACAGCAAGACAACCTGTCAACACAGTGGTGGGGAGGATACCCTTTGTCCCTCATTCGTCGTTCTCCAATAGTATACATGTAAAACACGCAACCCATTTTGGTGGAAATTTCCGACAGGGCCCTAGAGGTGTGTCAGGTCTTTTGAATTCCTCTCTCCAGAGTCATCGTAATATAAGACATTTTTTACCCCTTGGTAGACAACTCGGGCATATTGCGCGTGCTGGTGGACCAGCTATACCCTATTCAGGACTTATTCCTGGTTCCCAAAAGGCTTACAGACCATTCAAATGAAGATCTACATTTTGCAAATTCTAACATTCAAGTATCTACATTTTGCAAATTTTGGTTAAATTTGTATGAATGTTCATGTATATAAAATTATGGTTACAGTGATTAAAATCGATGTGCGATGGTTGTTGGCAAAATAAAGTATTGTTTTTTATTTTTGTTTAAAAATTAAATTCTATTGATTTGTAATTAAAAATTTTAAACAAATTGTTGAACGAAATTACATCTGTAACAGTAAGGGGATAGTGAAACGTCAAACCCATATGTATGCATCTAAATGAGATTGCCTGTAGAGAGCTATTCTCTGGAACCACTCAAACTTTTATTTTGTTATGCATGGTCCCCGATTTAAAATAATTCTGTCCTTTGCTACATCCTGGCACTAGAAATATACCGGTGAAAATTTTGATTGCTACGCGTCTTGGTTGCCATTGTAACAGCGAGAAAAATGATATTTTCAGTTTACTTTGAATCTTTATTGAGCCTTTCGAAAGTCTTTCTAAAGACTATGAAAATCAAACAAACCATTCTCACAAAAACATGACAACGTGTTGCCATTTATATTATCAAAAACCATTTAGAATATATCCTTAAGTAAATGGTAACCATCTGTGTATATTTGGAATACATTTTTTAATACTGAAAATGCTGAAAAATGCTCAATAGTCATTAATACATGTAACAGGTGTTACATGAGTGGTATCAATCAACATCTCAAAAACAAAAAAAAAGAAAGAAAGAAAGAAAGATAGAAACAAAAAAAAAATAGAAAAACACATACAGAGAGCAACCATGTTCAAAAATGCATTTCAAGTTTTAAAATTCAGTTCAGCTTTTGTCCTATTTGAATTCACGGTATCAAATCTTTTCATCATAGAAAATTTTGAGACTACGTACCACAACTTCTACATAAAGATTCAATTTACATGTAAGACATTACAGAGAATTCTCGGCTGTTAATTCGTGGAAAGGTGACACATGATAAGGGCAAACTTGAAAAAGCAATATAAAGGTCACTGCTCTATCTAGATAAAAAAAAGAAGAATTTGAAATATATAATTATATCCCGTAAGTTATGACAAATCACTCACCAAATTCTATAGGATATATTCCACATTTAAAATGTATGGGAGAAAATGATTCAAATAGTTGTCAATATCCGAGGGATTTATCCCATTCATTTGAAGAAATTCATAGGAGAACAAAACCTAATTGGAAAAAATATCCCATCTGACATTTTTTCCCATGGGAGAATGGAGGGATAGTTGATGGGACTGAAAATGCAAATGCCACCATTCTCCCATGGGATTCTTAATTTTAGGACTTTGTATCTCAGTTTAGAAGAGGGGATGTTTGTGAGTTCAACATGAGACTGTGATACTGCTAAGAAATCCCACCAATTGGTAAAAAAAAACATTTTGAACCTCACAATTGTTACGTGCAATTAACAGTAATAATCTCCTTTATAGTTGTTCAGAGGGAACATAGAATAAAATTTAATTTATAAATGTCGTGTTATTGTATTTAAGGTCACACCCTACGTAGTTTGAACTTTTTTTTGTCTTTTTCCATGGAGTTGAAGAGTTCCAATTATTGAATGAACTGTGTATTATATTTTAATTTCTACATATGGTCTTGTACACTTCTTCTAAAACAATTTTGGATAGAAGAAATATCCAGAATATATGTTTAGTATTTTTTATGTATTTTTCTTTGAACTGAGTATCCTAAATTTTTCATCAATTATATATCATTCAAAAAACCCTGGTAATGGATGCTGATTTTTTGTCTATGAACATTTGATGACACCATAATTTTAAATTAAAAATATAAGGTCCCTGCTACATCACTGCATTAACAGAAACAGATAGCTAAGAGCTTCAATCAACAGAAAAGAAGCAGAAAGCTTTGAGAACAGAAAGCTAAGAGATGGGCAACCCACCCATCCCAAACACGCAATGGACAGCTACTTTCATTTTAAAAGGAGATGGACTTTCTATGACAATGACGTAAATGAATGTTCACCTGTATAATTGATTAATTAATACATAGAGAATAAACCAGTATAGGCTTTATGGGAGGTCACGGTTCGCTTTCAAGACAACGAAATGGAAAGTCATGTACGATTAAATTATTTGAGCTCATAATCTCTATTTAAATAGACATTGACTGAGGCTTTGTCAAGGTTTTTAATTAAATTAGACATCGTTAACTAATTTGAGCTGCAAAGCTGAAAGAGTTCAAGAAGTAGTGACACGACGTAGTCTATGTAAGAATTGCCTATTATCGACTCCAAAGATGGCGACCATGGAAGGAGTAAATTCGGATCTTGCAAGAGAAAGAAGAAATGCTACTTTTGATGTTGAACAACTTACAAATTTTATATATAGAGGTCCTGAGAAGGTTAAAAGAAGAAGATATTTACGTAAGTTTTTTGTTGACAGCTCAAGTTATTTGCGGGTTATTTTTAAGAACAAGTTAATGTGTTGGACTTTGAACCTATATATATATCCTGTATATACTGTATACACGTAATGACGATATAGTCCAGTCATTATAAATTTGACCTCAAACTAATTGCAACAGAATTTTTCTTATGGTAGTGTTTCTTCCAATAGCATAATGTAACTCCATAAAAAAATCGGAAAAAATCGGACGAGTGGTTTTCATACAAATCGACTTTAAAAATAAGGAAACATGACTTTCATTTTGTATCTGGTATGCCGCACCATACTACTCGCTGTTGACGTCATTTTCTACTAAAGTACGTCATAGATAAGAATTATTTACCAAAAATTTTGAAAAGTAACTTTTTTTATAAGTTTCCTTCAAAATATTACCAATCATTGAAAAGGAAAATAAGCCAGAATATTATTTTATACGTTTTGACACTTTCAACATGAAGAGGCTATACAGTTTAATAAAACAGGCCTATATTTTATTTTTTTTTTTAAATTAGACTTCCATAGGAAAAAAGTTTGAAATATGTGCACTAGTTTTAAAAGTTGTTGATTTCATACTTTCCACAAGAGCTAGACCTTTTATTGATTAGTTCATAGCGTAAATTCTGTGGTGCAGTAAAATCTCTATGGAACGCCATCTCATTCAAAATTTCTTCCCAGTGCGTTATATTTTCTATAATACACTGTATCACTGATGTCGCTGTCAGAGGGTAAAGTCCCATTGATTCTCCTATGATTTCGCACAAATAGTCAACCGTGGCTTATTTTAAATTTATGAAATGTGGGCGAATTTAAAACGGGACAAAATTGTTTTCAAATGTAAAATGGCGAAAATAACACGGGGCGAAAATAACCTGGTATACAGTATATATATATTTTTTAAATAATACATAACTGTTCTTATCTCTGAGATTTAGTTGATTTAATCAAAACAGTTCATAACTTAGATCTATCCAGATTTATCATTAGAAATGAAAGCTGAAGTAGATGTAGTCCCACTTAACGTACCGTTACTGCTGCATTTAAATCTGAATTTTTCTCACACATATTTTCGTTGCATATATTCTAGTGCAATATAACCTTGTCTCGGCATAAAATCACGCAATTAACGTATTTTAAAATATGCCATATTGAAAATTATCACATGGAATTTGGTTTAATCATAAGAAAAAATGAAATCAAAGACCATTTATAAAACACTAATACTCAGTAATACAAAACAAAGCTGGATCGCTTAATTTTCTCGTTGAAAAATAAATAAGATGTCTGTAAATTTATTAATTTTTATGCACTCCTTTCTTCTGCATAATGATCAAGACATGCACCTAAATAGCTACTTTTGGACTCTAGACAGAAGCTCATCCCCCAAATATTTAACCCAGACCTTGTTCGAAACAAGTTACCTTAATTATTTACATTTATTTATTTTACTTTTTGTAAAATAGAGAATAGCCAAAATATAACCCACCCACGCCAAAAATATATGAAAGGCGTGCCACTCCTGTTTGATTTCATTGTAACCCCATGGGCGTTGGAAGGAAATTGAAAGTAGGGGAGGGGGGCTAATCGAAAGTGGGGGGGTCTAAACCCATAAAAAGGGTTAATCCCAATTCTCAATGCCTATATAATGTCTATTTTTGCAAAATAAAAAGACCCCCTCCCCCCGGTTTCGACGCCCATGAACCCCTTTGATTTTCTAGATTAAAACGAATGTCAACCAAATCAAAAAAATGTCGGTCCACGTCGTCTTTGCATATATTCCTGCCATTGATATGTAGTACTTACTTGGTTTTGAATTGAATTAAAATGCAACAACCATCATCAAACACGATTATGTAGAGTCAGTGCATTGCAAAATCCTGGGGTATATTGTATAAAAGCAAGGAATGTTATTTTAATTGAATATTATGACGACAACCATGCAAGAGAGATTATTATGTCAGGTCATAACTTTGACGCGAACACGTTGCAGAGGAAACGAAGAGGGAAACGAAATACACCTCAGCATATAGCCTTCAGAAGCAATAAGGGGACAAGTTACAAGTGATTAAAGGGGGGGGGGCTGGCAAATTCTTTAGAGTCAGATTCTTTATTTTGATGTCAGCGAAGGATAATATTTATTTCCATACATCAAATCCAAGTCGACAAATAGTACTCTTATAGTTCTCTTATTCTTCAGAGGGGAGAGGGGGGGGGGGGGTTGGTGGTTAGTGGCAGATTATTTATTCCCTGTCCAGTCGAGGTCATATTATTTATTTTCAACATTTTCGAGGACAGATTAATTATTTCCAAAATCTATCCCTCTTCAGAATCAAATGGTTGTCCCTTCGGGATAGAGAAAAGATAGACGATTCGAATTTTCTCTGTTTCTTTAAGAAATTTCACTTTTATTCTTAATATTTATACGCAAAATAAGCAAGTAATTTCATACTAACTGAAATTTCTTTAATTTCTATAAAGTTGCTATGTTAAACTAACTTTGAGTAGAAATTTACTTAGTTTGGTTAGAAAAAACGTATGATCCGAATTTCCTCTGATTATTTACTTAAATTAGCCCATGATATACATTGATCACAGAAAATATTGAAAAATATTTCATGAATGTCTATTTCCCATTTAATGTTTACGGTTATAAGGACCAAAGAACAGTCAAATAACCACTTTTTATCAGGCATCTGAAAAAAAATTATGTAATTCGAATTTCCTCTGTTTAAGCAAGGTATATTATTGAACATGACGCATTAATTCATTACAATAATAATTATATCTTCTAAATTTTATTCCTGTATATTTGTTTTTTTATATTAATACAAACACTGCTTGCCAATTAAAATATCATGTGTAATTTTCCACCTATTAACTTTCTTTTTTTCCTCTTTTTTACAACAAAATATAAATAGATAATTCCCACCTAAATTTCAAAAAATTGCCTCGATGGAATTTTTCCGATTTTTCATATTACATTGCCTACATGTTGAACTCGCATAAAATACTAAAGAAAATTCTGTTGCAATTAGTTTAGGGTTTTACAATTTTTTTGCTATTTTGGCTGGACTAATACACTATGTTTTTTAAATATATTTTTCATTAAAACACAACAAGATAGCCACATTTCCTTAGTATTTAGAATAAAATATAAAAATTGTGAAAGTGCAAGGATGTGTCAATCAAACCCATCTAAAAATTTGAAGTTTCAATAACTTTTAAATCAAATAAGATTTTTAATTTATTTTCATGTGAAATGGTATAGACCGTTACACGGTAACTGTGGTACTGCTCTTTAATAAGGCAAAATGATATACTTTGGTGAAATATGACGTAAAAGTTGTATACATCATTTAATTATCTGTCAACGAAAACTTCGCCGAACGTTATTATTTTGCCCTGCAAAAGTATTATAGTACCGCAGTTATCGTGAAGGGGCTAATTACAACATATAAGTCGTTAAATTACACAGAAAATATTAACTTCAAATCTGTGGCTATGCACCTTCAAATCTTCTGGGCTGTACTAATTATTCCTGTCATTTCCTTCAATAGTCTGAAAAATCTAATTTCCTGGTACATGAAGTATCAAAGTAGAAAAGCCTGGATTTTGGACTATTCCTGCAAAAAATCATGTTTTCTCAGCTCTCTTTAGAAAATAAAAGACTATTTTTAAATAAATGTATTGCTTTTAATGCAAAATCATGAAAATAATTTTTCTCCTTCACGTGTAATTTGTTTTTGAAAATGATGTGTACTGGTACATGTGTAATTGTGTATACACTTGCAAACTTGTGTTGACCAATTAGCTTAGTTGGTAGAACACATGCATAAAGTTGAGGGGTAATTGTCTGATCACAGGTTTCTCTGTTACAAGTTCTAGCCTTCTGTTATAGACATGTTTTGCATTACTAGGATAGATGTAATTTTGCTATAATAGAAAAGCTATTTATCATTTGTACAGTGTTTTCTTTCCTCTCCAGAAAATGAAAAAAAAATTTAGAAATATACAGTATATAACTATACTTAAAAGTAAAATAAGAGAGTCAGTTTCCTTAACCCCCTTCCCCGCAGTCACGCATTTTAACGCATATACCATTTCCTATTTCTAACGCAAAATCACGCATATACTGTTTCCCCGCAATCACGCATTTTCACGCACTTTAAAAAGTTGATTTAATCTTCAATTTATTGCCAAATTCCTTCTATTTTATACTTACTTAAATCAAATAAAATAAGAAAAGTTAGTTTCCTATTAAAATATTACGTCCTGATATCATTTACGCTGAACTTCAGAGAAACTTGTACCATGCTATAAAGTGTTTGCGGGGAAATGGTAAAGTCATATTTCTATGAAGTGAACGTTAAGTGTATGTTTCATAACATTTCAGTAAGTTGTAAAGAGTTAAACAGACTTGACAAGTTGGTAAATGTAAAGTATGTGTTTTTCCTATACAATTACATGTACCAGTCATATTACAGGATGTATACATTTATTTACATTTAATTATTTCATTTGTAGATAACTTGGCCATAAAAGATCCAGAGTTTAAAAAAGCTAAACCTTGGGCATTCCAGACAAGAGAGGAACAGTATGAGACTGCCTTGTGCAAATTTCTTTACATCAATAAAAAAATGAAAGAGCATGGAATTACAGAGCCTGCTGATAGATTTTACTATCAAGAGTATGTACCTGTATATGAATTGGGAGTCTCATTTTAATAAAATTCTCGGTGAAATAAAAAGCAAACATAACTATACTACTATCAAGAGTATGTACCTGTTTATGAATTTGGAGTCTCATTTTAATAAACTTCTCAGTGAAATAAAGAGCATACATAACGAGTTTTATTTTTACACAGAGCAGTGGCTTCACATGAAAACAGTCCAATTGGTCTTCACACAGTGATGTTTATTCCCACCATAGAAAAACAGGCAACGAAAGAACAGCGAGAAAGATGGCTGCCACTAGCAGAAAGCCTAAAAATGATCGGAACGTATGCTCAAACAGAAATGGGCCATGGTAAGATACTCCACAGATTGTACAAACATATCTCTCATCATTGCAATGTGTATATAAAGAGTTTTGAATTACTGTAGACGTACTTTTTTCAACGGGGTCATAATTCCGCGGAATCTCAATTTCTGTTTAATCCGCGGGTAGAAAATTATGCTAATTTTCTAGATTGTCACTATATTTGCCTTACAATTATATTAAGTAGGCTTGGACAAATTTCCGCGGAAAAATGATGAGCGCGTACATAGCGTAAATTAATACCACACGGAAAAAAGTACTTATACAGTAACCTATTTATTAACAAATACATGTACTGTAACTGTTAATTTTTTTAGCATGGGTTTATATCATTTAATACTTGTTATCAACTGCATGATTTTATACTTACATTCAGTGTAATTTTCTTTATGAAATCCATTAGAATATACAACATTCAGTACCTTATAAAACACAAAAAAACTTTGTCACTGTGTGGTAGAATACACTGAAGGAACTATATGCATTTTCAATACTCCTATAGCAGCACATGTCCATGCTTACAAATTATCGACGTACCACGCTAACGTGTGGTACTCAATTTGTCAAAACAGTCAGGTGCCATTATAGGATCAACAACATCCAAAAACAAAAATTCAATGCTTAAATATATCAAACTCTGTTTACACAGGTACATTCATACGAGGGTTAGAGACAACCTCAACATATGATCCAAAAACCAAGGAATTTGTCCTCAACTCTCCCACTATAACCTCTATGAAGTACTGGCCAGGAAATTGTATGTATATAGACAAACGTAGATAAAAATATTTGTACATGTATTTTAATCATGTAAGGAACAGAATTGCAGATTTTGAAAACAAACAGTATATACTGTCAATAGTGAATGTATTGCAGAGTTACAGTTGAAATTGACATCCCAAGATTAAACCATTGTAAACTGACATTTCAGTAGAGGTTGACAATGGTTTTCTGAAGGGTGTCTATTTCAACTGTTACCCTCCAATACATGTAAAATATATCATCCCCTCCCAAAGGAGTTGAAGGGGATATAGTAATGTAATTGTGTATTTTCATGTGGGTGTTGAGTTAATTCTGCATGAACTGGAAGCAATGTAATTTGCATCGGGCTCAATGTTGAATGCTGCTTTGATTTATAAATATTTAAGCTCTTTGAGAGGAGATTCTCAGCTTTGTGGTGCCCTTGTTTTATGATTCTGAATTTCTGATTGAGAAATTTAAAGTGTTTGAAATTGACATTCAAAATCAGATCTTGTTTTAAAGACTTGAATATTTTTTCTCATTTTATCAAAGCCTCAAAAATGATTCACAAACCTATCAAGGGTTTATTTGGTACTAGATATCTTTATCCTCCAAAAATTTGGTAATTTTACACTCAAAAAATTTCTATTCTGTTTGGGTTTTTTGCAATCAATAAGACTTAAGCATTATTAATGCCTCATACTGTAGATCACTTAATTTTCGTGACACCTTATTTTCGTGAGATAGTCATTGACTCTTTATTAGCAAGACAAAATTTTCACGAATTGTGGTAATTGCTATATATAATCTTAAGGAATTCTATTATACGCGAGAATGAAATTTTCGCGAGCATACTGTCTCGCGTAATTACACTAAAATAAAGTTCTCACGAATAAAAAGTGATTTGCAGTATTTCAGTTTATCTTCAAATGCAACTGACATGTTGAAAAATCATAGGCAAAGAAGTGGCACTATCATTTATGTTATTTGTTGCAAAGTGTGTTTCTAATGCAAAGGTAATCATTACATATTGACTAATGGATCTAAACCAACCAGATTTCAGTACTATTAGTATTTATTATGAAAGCATAATGCAATGTACCAATGAGTTAAAATGGATGTACATTTGAATAAATAAGGGTCATTACTACGTTAGTCATGTTTGTTGTACAGTGGTAAGGCTTTTATGTACCAGGTATACTTTTAAAATGTCAGTACTATACAATTTTAAAAAGATAAGCCCTACACTGTATGTTTGTATGCATAAAGATGTTAAGAAATTATGTCAGATGACTCTCAGATTCCTGACTTAAAATTTGTTTCAGTGGGAAAGACAACAAACCATTGCCTTGTTATGGCACAGCTCTACACTCAAGGAAAAAACTGTGGAATACACATGTTCATGGTGCAAATACGGGACCTGGAAACACATATGCCTTTGCCAGGTTTGATAAAAATTGTTTGTTTTTAAAATGAGTATTGATTGTCTTCTTGCTTTCAAAGCACAAATTATCAAAGTGATATAAATAACCAGAACATAGTCCCTGGTACAGCTGGTACTATTATTGCTCTAAATGAAATAGAATCTTGTTTATAAGCATTATGGAAACGTTTCCTGTAGGTATAGAAGTTGGTGACATTGGTCCAAAGTTTGGATATGGTACGAATGACAATGGATACTTAAGACTGAACAATGTTAGAATACCCAGAGAAAACATGCTCATGAGATACTCCAAGGTATATTATATCACTCTACTCCAAGGTATATTATATCACTTTACTCCAAGGTATATTATATCACTCTACGGTTATAAAATAATAGTGAACAATGTTACTAGCCATTAATCTGACCTACCGGTATACTTGTATTAAGTTCAGTGCTTTAAGTGATATTTGGCTTTCTTTTTGGCCAGGTACTAGAAGATGGGACTTTTGTGAAACCCCCAAATGCTAAGATTGCCTATGGATCCATGGTGCTGGTGAGAGCGGCCATTGTTACTGATGCCTCACGTGCCCTGGGCCAGGCCTGTGTGATCTCCATTAGGTACAGCGCTGTCAGACGACAAACAGAGGTCTCCCCAGGGTATGTTAAAGTTTACAATAGGTATACACATAAAAAAATGCATTATTTATCAGATAATTTGTTATTCTTTTAAATTTTTTAAGGTAACTAATAGATATTCTCATTTACAGTTTGTCAGTTTGATTTAATACCTATTGAATCTTAGGTTACTGAGTACCTATGGTATCTTCACTCAGTCATAATGAAATACAACCAAGAGAAACCTTCAACTTTTTTTTCTACAGATCTGTTAATTGTTTTTATATCTTTGTCCTCAATTCATTATCTGTGATTATTTAATAGCTTGATTATTCAATAGCATGATCATCATTTTGATTAATTGAAGATCAACATTTGTACACTGTATGATACAATGGCTCTTTTTCTTATTTTTTCTCAGAGGTGAAGAAGCACAGATTTTAGACTATCAAACTCAGCAGTACAAGTTATTCCCCTTACTTGCCACTTCTTACGCTATGTATTTTGCTGGGAGGTTTATGTATGATTTCTATCTGAAAGCTACAGCAGAAATTGAAGCTGGAAACTTAGAGTCCATGCCTCAGGTAATTTTAAATATTCATTCAAAAAAAAACTTTGGGAAAAAAAAAATTGGTGCACATGAATTTTCACATGAGAAAAAAATTGTTGATTATTAATTTCTTGGATTCTTCACACTGAAAACTTATATTACAGATATTTTGTTTAATTCCCTTATCTCATAAAAGCAATTAGATATGTGAAAATACATGACTGCCACTATGCAGGCATTCTCAAACACAGTAAAACACGGTTATATGGGTCCGGGAGTGCCAGAGATGGACGATTTTGCTTAGTTTTATATGTAACTTGTCCGTTAATATCTGTTAAGTACCTAAAATATTTTAAAGTAATGGGTAGTGAAAATCACTTTGCATCAGTTTATTATAAGCATGTTTGCTATAAGCCTGTTTTACTGTAGTGTACTCTGCATTCTTTTTTTTTTTAATGATCCCCCCCCCCCCCTTTTTTGAGAGATCTGAACTACAAATTAAGGTTTATTAATTTACTTGAGAGTAAGTTGAAAACTGTAAACAAAACTACAAAACTATTTCAGCTGTAATCATATTGTTTAATTCAATTTTGCATTGCTTAATCTTTTTCATCTACATACTTATACATGAAAGACCTTTTTGTTTTAAATCTCAATTCTACTTATTTACGGTGGCAAATATCAGTTAGATAGTAAGATTATTTTTGAAAAAAGAGTGTCAGAATTGAGATTTCAAAACAATTTTTAAAAAATTTCATTAAAAATAAATGTAAAATCATATACATAATCAGACAACTTGATTTTTCAGCTCCACGCCATTTCGGCGGGACTGAAGGCCTTCAGCTCCTGGACGTGTTCGGCGGGGGTGGAGACATGTCGTCTGTGTTGTGGGGGGCATGGCTACTCCCACGCCAGCGGTCTGCCTAAGATTTATATAGACTGTGTTCCTGGCTGTACTTATGAAGGGGAAAACAATGTCATGATGCTCCAAGTGGCCAGGTAAAAAATCAGTAAGAAATCTTGGTTTGACTTTTCAGGACATATTCTCTTGTATGATGTATATGTTGTGTGTACAGTCATGTGCACATTGTTTTGTAATTAGCATCTATTTTTTATTGGAAGGTTTTTGATGAAGATGTATGGGAAAATGCAAAATGGAGAATCACTGCCAAGTTTTATGCAGTATTTAGGCACTGACCTCAATAAGAGGTCATGCATGACAGAGGAAGTGGCCCTGAAATGTTTAGTATTGGCTTATGAAAACAGAGCAGCAAGGTAATTCTTGTCTTCTCATAAGGAAGAAAAGTAGTTGGCTAATATCGATAAAAAAAAACATCGTCGCAGAAGTATATTATATATTAGTGTCAGTGTTCTTGGACTTGTAGAACAGTAAGAGATGCAGCTGTCAACATGCAGAACTTGGTACAGTCTGGGAAATCTCCAGTGGAGGCCTGGAATGGATCTACAGTAATGCTGACATGGGCAGCTACAGTAAGTACCTAAGAAAGACAGGTGTATTGGTTTCAGCTTCAGCAATGTACACTCTCAATAAGTTTAATAGTATTTATCAAGGGCAATGCTTCAGCTGTTGAAAGAAGCACTTAATTGTATGATCAGTTTTTATACGCCTGTCTTAAGACGGGACATATGTTATAGGCTTCTTGTCCATCCTGCTGTCCATCTGACCGCCTGTCTAGCTGTCCAAATGCTAGCTTTTCTTCTGTCTGGCTCATAACTTTAATACTAGAAGGCCTAGTGTTATCAAACTTTGTCAGCTGATACATCTTGGGTAGAATGTGTGTTGTGCACAAAAAATAGGTCACTTTACCCTTTAATTAAGAAGTTATAGCCAAATATGGAAAAATCCTTTCCGGCCCATAACTAGAGAACTATTAGACTTAGAATCATCAAACTTGGCCTGTTTATGCATCTTAGGTAGAAGGTGTGTTTTGACCTATTTCAAGGTCACGGTGACCTTTAATTTAAATGAAATTTTTTTTAAATAAGTGTCTTTTTACTCTTCATTTACACATCCCCAAAAATGTAAGAGTATTGCACTATCCTTATTAAAAAAGTGTTAAATCAAGAAATACTTATTTTTTCAGCATATACTTGACAGCAATCTTTAACAAATATAATGTATGTTAGAAAAATTCCAATGCTCCCATGATTGTAATTATCAAGCACTGGTCAAGAAGAATTCTGATAACAGAAAATTGCATGTCAAATTAGAGAGAAATTAATGAGTTTAGTGTGAGGAGCATCTGGTAGAGCATTTCTGATCAAGCAGGTGTTATCTATATCCCTTGGGAATTGGGCAAATGGGTCAGCCTGTTGGATTAAAAATAGCTCTTGTTGGCTAGTCTTAGCATTTTAATTGATATTGCATAATAAAGAACTGCGAACGATAGTATTGTTCTCCCGCCTACCTCCAAGTCAATTTTCAAAAGTTAACATATTTGATGAATTTTTAATATTTTTTATAGATAATTATATGGATTTTCATAAAACATTACTTATTTGGGAAAACAAAGAGAGATAACTCTAAAATTTTGGTAAAACTTGTGTTTTTCACTATAGAAATCAATGGAAAACGGAAAATATTTTTAAAACATCTTTCCCCCCGTGTCACATAAATTCCTTTTTACAGGTAATATGGAATGTTATTTCACAAATTCATACCAAAGCTTTTAGTGTGACACGAGGGGGGGGGGGACATATGTTTATTGACAAAAAAAGATAAAAATGTTTATTTTCCACCATTTTCAAAGCGATTTAAAACTGAAACATTATATTTTTTTGACATATTCATGTTTTTTTATTTGTCTAAGACACAAGAAAATATATAAGGAACATTTAATCATATCCAAGACTATTTCAAAATATGGTGATGCCTGAAACTCCAATTTCAATGGAAAATATCGTCTACCCCCCTTTTTTCAAGAGCTAGAATTATGTATAATTTACTGTTTAGCGCTGGTATCAAGACAATTCATCAATTATCATTGAACTGTTCTTTGTATTAAACAAAGATTTTATGGCCAAATTGCTTTTGATTTTGAATTAAATGGTTCCAAAATGTAGGCGGGAATCGAGAGTTAGCGTGCGTATTTCTTAATCTGATATTATAGATATTAAATCTAAAAAAAAAGATCACAGAGTATTTTATATGTTTTAAAAATCAAATGTTTTATGGTAGATAGAGCAGATTGGTTCATTTCTTGGTAGTAATGAGTAGACAAGCATCCAGTCAAAGATAAATTAATGAGTTCAATGTAGGAAGGCTAGCTGTCTCAATCATTTCTTTAGAGCATCTGTGACCAAGCAGTCTTTTCTGTATCCCTTGGGATATTAGACAGAAGAAATGTTGGTCAGTTTATAGCATATGTCATTTGATGACCAGCCTTTTATTTTCAAAATCAATTGGGTATAGATTAAGTTGTTAAGACTAATTTTATATTGTTTAATATGATGGGCATTTGACAAGGTCTAACACAACTAGGATAGAAATCTATCAGTGTAATATTTGTCATAAATAATTGGGTATTAATGCTTATACAACAGGGAATGATAAACAAATATTTTAAGGAATGGAAAAATCATGGAAATCTTAGAATCAAGGTTGACATGATTTTCTTGCACTCTAAATTAAAAAAATAATTGTAATTTTTTTGACAGGCGTATCATGCTGTGGCGTGGCACTTTATTTTTATCTACATTGGTTTGTAATTTGCGTGTAAAGTTATTTGCTCAATTAAAATTTTTTTTTGTTTCCTTTAAGGCCCATTGCCATGCCTTTGTTGTAAAACATTTCGTTGAGACAATAACTGGTTCCAAGATGGATGCCAAAGTGAGACCAGCTCTGACTGGTTTGTGTAAGCTGTATGCCGTTCATGGCATTGTGGAGAACCTGGGTGGATTTATTCAGGTCTGTACAAATTTTAAAATTTTTAAAGATTGATCAAAATATTCCATGATCAAGGGAAACATTTTCTTTAAAAGTTGATAAATTTAAAGACATAGCTGTCACAGTGATAAATTTTGGAATTTAATGCTTGCTGGGTAATGTGCTTGTATGGAAGATAAAGCAACTGTAAATTATATTTGTATGCTCTTTAATTTTCAAGGATGGATTCTTTGATTCCAATCAAGTAAGCTTCCTGCAGAAGAAGTTGCTGGCATTGCTGGCTGAGATCAGACGCAATGCTGTAGCGTTTGTGGATGCATTTGATTATCCAGACGAGGTGCTCCAGAGCTGTTTGGGACGATATGATGGTCAGGTCTATCAGGCTCTGTATGACTATGCCAAAAGCTCTCCACTGAATGAAAAGGAGGTAAATGAAGTGTTTGTACAAACCCCTTACATAATATTATACTATTTTGATATATTCAGCATTCTGGTAGAATATTTTTGTAAACATGTGTATGACTGAGTACACAGGTGTATAAAGCTACACATACAATGTTTAGCTCTTTCCACTAATAACGATTTGTCTTTCTTTTCAGGTGCTTGATTCCTACCACAAATACATCAAACCTGCTCAACAAGGAAATGGAGCCATTTATCAAGTTTCTAAATTATAAGATTCTTTTATATTTTAATACTTAAACTGAACATTTGGATCAATTACATTCCATACATGTGTTTACTGATTGATATACATGTATTTTATTGAGTTTCATGTGAAATGAGTACAAACTTCTTAATGGAGTTTTTTTATCAGTTAGACTGTGATTAAAAATCATTATTTGTGTCAATATGAATAGGTGCAATAATTAATGTTATGAAATGTTCTTGTTGTAAACTAAGTTTTATGCAGATGAATATGAATTGAAATAGTCTTACACTATGGAGTTATATTCAGGGTTTTGTTTTTCATAATCATATTTAATTATTCTCATGATTATACAAGTATTAATATATTAATGTTAATAGTATTAATAATAATTGTTTAAAAATTGTAATACCAGTATGTTTTTCTCCTTCGAGTGTCCATTGTTAAATAAAATACAAAAAATCACATGGGCAAAATTGTTAGCCTTTTCCATAAGTGTAGAGCACAGAACTGAAATGTAGGACCCTTCTGTAAAAGAGTGCATACTACAATTTGCCTTTTTTATTGAAGTGTTCTGTTCACTTAGCAAGGAATAAATGATATATTGAATTAGCTGTGATACCTGTATATCAATTATTGTGATTGTTTGTGTGTGTTTTTAAGATTTATTGATGTACAATTTACATCACATGATTGTTGGTTCTTGTGTGTTCGTTTTAGGTTCAGTGTATACTGTAAATTCCTAAATATACGCGTGGAATTAATTATTGCGTAATTTCGCAAGAAGCACAGCACGCGAAATAAAATTACTCGCCTTTATTATTATGATGCTGAAATCAAAGTAAAATCTCTTGATCAACCGTCCCTTTGCGAATAATTATTCTCGCGATTTGACGTTGAAGAGCCTATTCGCAATAACTCGCGAAAAATAAGGAATCTACAGTAGTCTGCTTATTACTATTGTTTTGTTTTCCCATAAAATTTATCATGTAGCCAGGTACGTTTGTATGTTACTTTTATGTAAAGGGAAAATATACCAGATAATAAAAAAAATCATGTAATCTAATTACAGGTGTAGTTTTATGCCAAAGACACTTGACAATACATATTTTCTTATTATACCCTCCACTTGAAAAGTGGGGGGGATGTATATAGTGACTGAGATGTCTGTCCATCAGTTATGCTTGGGGGTACCCATCTCTTACCCACAACTCTTCTTATACCCCTGAATGAAATTTAATGGGACTTTCACAGAATGTTTGTTACATATTGCCATTGTGACTTCCTATTTTGATCCAACACATTTTTTGGGTTTCGCATAGCAAAATATGGACACTGCCATTCCTTCAATAATATTGAAAGGTACCCATCTCTTATCTGCAACTCCTCCAATACCACTGAATAAGATTTAATGATACTTTCACTTTCACCTTTATTACATAAGGCCATTTCTTTTACTTTTTGATCTTACTCCTTATTTGGGTCTCTCAGAGCAAAACATGGACTTTGCCATTATAATCATATGGGAGGCGGGGTATCATTTAGTGAGCTCAGTGCTCACAGTACCTCTAGTTTGAAATATAAATAATATTGTTTTTAATATGAGGAAAACATGTATTGTCAATTCAAAATACAAATGTAATCAGTATCTTTGGAAGGATTTTTTAAAATAGTTAAGGCAAAATGAGTACACCTTTCAGGTATTTTAAAATGTTTAGTGAATACATCTTTTTAAACTAATTTATTTAAGATTCCTCTGTTTTTCAGCCAGTTTTACTTAAACTTGCAATTTTAATAAATTGATTTTTATTTTTTAAAATTTCATTGTCACTTGCTAAAGTAAATTTAATGAAAAGATTACTAAATCATGCTTTAAATGTCATTTTGCTTCTGTTGATAAATTATGTATAGCTTCTGTTCCATTGTTCAATAAAGGTCTTTCAAAATAAATGACATCTTTGTATTACAGACTGAATTGTACACAACTGTAAAGTTGTATGAAGTATTTTTCTAGTAGATAAATAGATTGCTTAATACCTGTCAGAGTTCTGTTATGGTATATACATGAGTTCTTAAGTTTGTTGACAAGTTTGTATTTTTAAAGCTACACAGAATTAAGGGAGGGGCCATATATAGTTATAATGAGCAATAATGTCTCTTTAAAAATTGCGAATTTCATGGCCCCTGGGTCCGGGGCTCTGGTGTTATAGGGGGGGGGGGGCTCTATTGTTTATTCTTTCAAACTCTTTTTCTTTGCTTCTGGGAATTATGCCACTGATCTAAGTAAATATTATTAGGAAGAAAGGTACCTCTTCCAAAATGGTGAATTTCATGGTCCCTTGGTTGGTGGTTAAATGAAAATAAATCGACTCTGGTATTAATCAACCATTTATGATGAAATAAAATTTATGATAAAATTTCTTAAGTTTTGAAATGTTTGGCCCCAGGGTCAGCAATGGTGCCTATTTCAAAATTGGTTTAGAACACGAACTAAATTCAATTGTTGGAAAGTTGGTACATGATAATCAGGTGACCTATACGGCCCATGGGCCTCTTGTCATTAATTTATTATTTTCCATTATCATTATACAGTTTCAGTGTGTAATTTTCAAACTACTAGTATTGTATAGTCATTCAGCAGTATAGTATTGCTTTGTCTTCCGGCAGGAGTCAAGATATTCTAGTTATTAATTTTGATTGTTTAAACTACTTTTCGACACTGATATTGATAGATCACTAGGTAGATACATGTATACATATGAGTCAACAGTTGGTTGAGATTGTTGAAAAGCTTTAGAAAAAAGTTTATCTACATTTTAATCATAAGTTATTCATTTATGACTTCTTCTGAGGGATAAAGGAAAGAAACTAGAAAAAAATATGTACGAGTATGGAAAACAGTATGGGAAAAAAGTACTGACCAATCCAGGCATAAAACGAAATTCTTGAAATAGTACATGTAATGCAGAATCGACATTTGTTCATGAAGACAAAAGAAACAAACAAACAAAAATTATTGTATCAGTTTTTTATTTCCAACGTTTGTTTTTGTACATTACATAAGTTTAAATCCGGAGAAGGTCATTCTTGCATATGCATTACTTTCCATGTAGTTTCCTGCAAAGTGGGTTCCAACGCGTGTGTTAACAATATCACCTTTCTTTAAATTCAGAATGGTCATTGTAGATGCGGGGGCCCTGTCGTTATGATCCATGGCATCAGCCCACCCTATATCTTTGATAGCATTGTTCTTTACGATTTCTACTATGCTGTGAGATTTGTCAAATGCTGTTGTAGAGGTGTGAAACACATCGACCCCACTCTCTGGAGCAGTAAATTTCCCGGACCTGGCATCATATCCGTTTCCAATGTTGGTCTCAACACGGTCATAGACAAATGTTTTGTGTTTGGATAATGTTTTGACCATGACATTGCTCGACATGTAGGCATAAAATGCAACTCCTTGCAATAGAATTATACAAGTCAACATTTGTACATTTTAATTGTGTAAACTATATTTGCAATCTTAACTTTTATTTTATAAGAATGTAGAATATTTTTCTACTCGTGTACTTTTAATATATAATACAATATATAAATTGTGTGAACAGTATTTTTGGTTAAAAAATGGAAGTGGTAACTATAATACAATATACAATCACCTAATTAACAAAAATGTGTTATAAATTGTTTGTCATACCAGTAAGTCGACTTTCTTTCCGTTGTCCACAGAGGCTGCATATAGTGTCCCCCATTTCTTTCCGGTCACATGACTCTTCAGCATAGACAAAACCCACCGAAGCCAAAGGTTTAAACATGCTGATTTCGATTAATGTCCACAATTATGTGCATAATAAGATACTGTTTCTCTTAAAAAGGTTTCTGTTGCTTCAAAAGAAATATGTTGTTTAAAGAAGATGATACAAACAAACGTTTATAAAAAAAATCCAGAAAATGACAACCTTAATTATATTTATATGAGTAAAATAAATAACTTTAACTTCACAGAATTTATTTTTTTTCATCCAAGGTTTCACTATAAAGGTGGTTTAAGTGAAGAAAATTTGTATAGATTATTAAAGGATGGTTGCAGAAGGTTGAATATTGATCATCACACATGTAGCAAGTTTAAAAATTCTTAATATTTTACTTTCTTATTTGCATCATTTACAGACAATATCGGTATATAATATATATCTTTACAAAAGGCTGACCTGGTGATGTTTGAAATCCTTTTAAACATCAACTCGTTTGTCATTAGCCTCCATTGTTCAAAATTCAAACATGCCTTTGAGTATCACATGTAAATACTATGCTTTTGACTATATGCTGGTGACGGCTGATTATTACTACATAAATAAGGAGAATTAACAATTGGGAAAGCTGACGTCATCTCGTTTGTCATACTATTTCGTTATGTCGTTAGTTGGCACATATCCTCTATTGTCAGTGAAACATTCAAACACGAAGCAGATGTTACAGGTTTTGTTGTTTATTTTATTTCGAGTTCACGGGGTTACAATGAGTAGACATAAGAATTGGTACCTATGATTAATTCTAGTAATTGATAAAACGTAGACGATGTATTTGAATTTCTAGTTGAAGGCACAGCAAGAGTTTTCTTCTCCGGTGGAAGTTTAATTTTTCAATCAATTAATTCTGCTTGATAGCATATGTAACAGTATGCCAGCTTCACGTATACGTAATACAGCAATTAAGGCCCATAGGAATTTAAGAAGATTATTGGAAAACCTGGTCTCCAAAAACTATATAGATGATGTCAATGGGGAACTCCAGCATCCTTTTTTTTAATGCCTACTTCAGCTAGAGTACCGAAATTGTGTTAGAATCACAATTTAAAGAAGATGGGTGAACAAGGAGGGCGAATTGCATATATATAGTGTGACAAATACGAAGTGAAAAATAAAGTATTAGTGAAATGTCATCCTTAATCAGGTGTTGTTTAGAATAGTGGTAAGCGTGTTAACTAGTCACCAAGGCATATGATTTTCTTGATTTTTATTATATAACGGGTTCGAATGATCAATCCCATGAATACCATATCATTTTTTGATATTAGAATAATTTTTTTCCCGAGATCTTTTTTCTCTCAGAAGTTATTTATCATAATTTCATTAATTTCAATAATAAGAACTTAATTAAATACTTAACTCACAAATTAAATATGATTTTAATTGATATGATTTTATATTAAGGCAGCCTGCCATTCTGCACGCTTTGTTTCCCCATTTTCTTTACATGAAAAATGTTCCACTTGTTACATTGATAGCAATGTGGCAACGCACTTTGAAAAAATTATGCACTTTGAAAAATTTTTTCAAAGTGCGTTAAAATTGGGACAAAATCAACGCACTTTGAAAAAAAATTTCAAAGTGCGTTAAATTTGGGACACACTCAACGCACTTTGAAAAAAATTTTCAAAGTGCGTTAAGAGTTTTCATCAACATTTTTTACCATGTGGACATTTAACGCACTTTGAAAAAAAATATACATGAAAAAAAAAAATTCGAGACTTAGATTTTAGTAACTGAGTGAAGCAATTTGTACTAATTATATCTTTCGAAAAACGTTTTAATTAACATGTATTGATTTACCCTCATTGAGAACAAGGAGAAGATGAGTATATAGAATGTAATGCTTATGTTATGTATATCTTTGCAAAACATTCGTTGACTAACGCACCCTCCCCTCTCTCTCTCTCTCTCTCTCTCCCCCCCCCCCCCCAAGGTACTGATGTTTATGCTACACCCAAAATATGCATTTGCATAACTGGTGTGACGTTGAAAACTTTCAATAAATTTAAGTTTACATTAAATGCGTGCAAACAGAAACAAGCTAATTCAGAGAATTCGTGTCCCCCGCTTAGGGAAAAAGTCGGATCCCCCTGATTGAATTTGTAGAATTATTAAATGTATACATGTATACTGAAGCAAATAAAATACATGTATGTCAATATGCATATAAAGATTGATTGCTTATTCTTTATTATGTGTATGGAAGATTCTTTTTATATGGAATGTTTATCACACTGAAATTATGATTTTATAACCTCATAAATTTTTCATTTCATATGTTGAATACTATCATTTAGTAAAAAAAAAAAAAAGTATTTAAAAAAAAAAAAAAGATCGACCGAGATTCGCTCCCGGAATCTTTCGCATGTGAAGCGACAGACATACCACTAGACCACGGAATCGCTTTACATGACGTTCAGTATATGCAAAACTGAAGTCACATACATGTATATATTCTCAAAATTTTACACAATCCATGGTGTTTAATTTATTTAGCATTTATTAAACAGTTCTAATAGTTGTAATAAGAACACAAAATCCGCCGAGAACCTGTTTTATACGCAACAAGCTAATTCAGAGAATTCATGACCCCGCTTAGGGAAAAAGTCGGATCCCCCTGACTGAATTTGTGGAATTATTAAATGTATACATGTATACTGAAGCAAATAAAATACATGTATGTCAATATGCATATAAAGATTTGATTGCTTATTCTTTATTATGTGTATAGAAGATTCTTTTTATAAATATTTATCACACTGTAATGATGATTTTAAAACCTCATAAATTTTTCATTTCACATGCTGAAATGACCCATTTAGTAAAAAAAAAAATATTCAAAAAAAAAAAAGAAAAAAGAAAAAGAATAAAAGGATCGACCGAGATTTGATCCCGAGACCTCTCACATGGGAAGCGAGAGACATACCACTAGACCACGGAATCGCTTAACATACAATCACGTATATGCAGAACTGAAGTCACATACATGTATATATTCATGTTCGGTATTCTCAAAATTTTACACAATCCATGGTGTTTGAATTTATTTAGCCTTTATTAAACAGTTTTAATAGATGTAATAAGAACATAGAGTCCGCCGAGAACCTGTTTTATACGCAATAACTCTCCTCATGCCCCTGTGCTAAAAATAGCGACATGTAATACTATAAATACTAATAAAACAAACGGGGCGGGGCACTTTGAGAGGGGTGAGAGAGGTCCTAGGGAGTTTTAGTATGAAATTATATTGCATAAGCTCAAAATCTTCTTGAAATATCGCCCGGAAATGATAGTGTTACACACAAATTTACGACCTTGAACTTTGACCTTTTGACTTCAAAATCAATAGGGGTCTTCATTAGGCCACAGGGAGTTGTTATGTAAAATTTCATTGCGATAGCTCAAATGGTTCTTATATAAGAGATATCGTGTGGAAACAAAAGTGTTATAACGGACAGAATTTGCTTATTTATGACCTTGACCTTTTGACCTCAAAATCAATAGGGGTATTCTTTAGTCCATAGGGAGTTGCTAAGCTAAATTTCATTGCAAAAGCTCAAAGGGTTCTCGAGATATCGTGTGGAAACGAAAGCGTTACAGACAGACAGAAAGACGGACGGACGGACGGACGGACAAACCCAAATTAATATCCCCCACCTTTCAAGCGGGGGACAAAAAATCAAGCACAGTAGAAGATTTAAGAAAGAAAGAATTTTCAAAGTTTGGAAAAATAAAAATCGCTCACTTTCACATCCTGAAGTGACCTTGACACCAAAAAGTTATCCAACAGGTTAAATTATTTATCATACCTGAGATTTTCAAAAATATTGACCAAGACATACACATATTTTTCAAAGTGCGTTAATATGGTCGATATCAACGCACTTTGAAAAGAAATTTAATTTTTTCAAAGTGCGTTGATTTGGTCCTAAAATTAACATACTTTGAATTTTTTTTTCAAAGTGCGTAATTTTTCAAAGTGTGTTGTAACATAGCAACAACTGAACTTAACGAAAATGATTATGTGTCCAAGTTGCTGCGTGCCCTGGGTGAAAGAGTATGGGGAAATTATAAACCAGGGTTGGTTTTTAAAAAAAATCATTTTTGCAGGACATGATGAAAAAATCAAGTGATTGAACCAAATGCAAGAATTTTAGTTCAACAACAATATTTAGAATGGCAAAGACTATTACTTACAGCAGGAAGTCGCATTATCAGCAAAAACACACACACTTTTAGCAAAGCAAGATAGGTGAAAGATCAGACTGGGAATCTCTAATAACACGTATAGGAGATCAAAAGATATCTAGATGAACAAATAAGATCTTGATGTAAGATCACAAATGGCAATACATGTATTTGACATTGTTTTTATCAATAAAAACACATTCAGGATAAAAAAAAAACAAAAAAACTTTTTAATCAGAATTTTACTGGCAGATCATCATGCAGCCTCTGAAGCACACTCTCCCTGATCTAGCCACTTCAGTTAATTTTTGAACAGAGCAGTAGGGATCGGAGTTGACACATTTCTCGATATCAAACCTTTTCAAAACTGGACATATTCTTGGACAAAATATTGAATCTAAAAAAGAGACATAAAAACGTTAAATAAAATTCCATAGAAATCACATGGTGTTCAGGTTGTTAATGTTATTCAAGCCATAACTATCGTGGTTTAAAACCACGGATCTCATGTGAAAAAGAGAAAGTCAAAATGTGGTCCGCCACATAAAAAGAAACAAAGTATTTTATTGTTTAAAAAAATTTTAAAAGTCCTTTTTTTGTTTTAATGAAATAAAGCAAAGGAAGAAAGACTCACTATGACATGCCACCTGACATCCCCGAAAGCAGCCATTTACAAACACCGGGGAAACGAAACAACACGGATCACTGTTCAGGCAAGCTTCCATTTCATAGCGAGCAGGTGAAAGGCAATTCAAATTTCCTTTAAAAAAAGAAAAACCTTATCAAGAGGTTGTTGTTCTCCCATATTTATAAATAAATTGTTTTAAATTGTAAAAATCTTATGATATTTATTAAAGTGGATGGCTTTTATTATACGACTAATACTTACAATGTAGGTGGTATATGTTAATGTCAAAATACGGTACTTTTTATCCTCTTTTGGGCACCGGCGCTTGTTTCGGGAATAAATTTTAACCCATAGTATAATGTTATATTATGGGTCAAAAATTTATTACTGAAACAAGTGCCTGTGCTTTTGGGATATAGTAACTGATTTCACTAGACCGATAGTTTGTACAAGATAAATGGACAGTAAAAATAAAAATAAATCATAAATTCAAAATAGAAGGAAAACTATCGTTCTAAAAGGTATAGAATACACAGGTAATTGATATAATGAGTGTTTTATCCTCATTTTAGTGTTTAAAGAAAAAAACTTACCAGGTTCGAAATCCGATGCACGGCTTCCAACGATGATGGCAAAAATCAAATAAAAAGTGTACATCTCCATGGGAATTTATTTATGATCAACTATGCACAAGCAGGAGCAGGATGGAAAATTATAATCTCGTATCAGTGCTGTTAACTTATAATATAATACAGTTCTAAATCCCAGTAAGTTAAACAACGCAACAGCTGAATTTGAGAACCATCATTAATAAATGCCCAAAATGTTCATTAGGGTTATTATGACAATAATAACTGTCATTTTCGTAATGCAACAAATTGTAAGTGCATACTTAAAGTGCAACTACTGCGTAAAAACTGTTCATGGTTTAAAAGGGGTAAAAATATCTTGCCTTTAACTGAAAAACAGCAAAGAATGTACATGTATGTACATTATTTAATTATTCATTTATTATCAAGTTCGCTAATAGTACAATTAGTTATAATGAGAGAAATATATTTTTCGACACTTTTGTACGAGTTGAAGTAAGAGGCTAGATACAAATACTTGCTCATGTAATTGGAGTAGTCAAATGTATCAACTAATTTGAGATACTGTATTACTGATATTCTGTAAATGTATTTTATTTAGCGTGTACGATATTTAGCGGAAAGTGATTTTTAAACATGTTTGCGTCGATTTGATGTGGCGCATTTCTTGATATTCTTATTCATGTATCAATGTTTAAGCTGAAGCATCTTACCGCCAAAAGCGCTAAAAAGAATACACCACCAAATGTAATACGCGTTTACAGTATACTCTCTACCATCTTTAAAGTAAAGTCATCTGGCCTCCTTGTTAGGCATTTAATCAGAAATAACCGATTTCATTTACTTCTAAACCGTGAAGAGAAAACTAGCTGAATCTCTCGAAGACCTTCTGTTTAAACATCGGCCTTCCAGATGTGTGATAAAATCGTCAAAAATCTTTAAAGAATGACTGCACTTAATTAATAAGCTATGACAGTTGGATCCCGATGTTTTGCGCAAAATAAAATTCTAAAATTCATTAAATTTATGTTTTATAGGTATTAAACAATGTCTCAATAGCAGGTTTTGGTATATTATATTACATGAAAGTATTAAATAATGCCGAGCGACACTAGCTTTTGAGATGGGAGTCTAACAGTTCTGTCCCATTTCTATTGTTATTCATATGCATACCAATTTTCAACGACTTTGTTTACATCGAACCGCAACTTGGCCATTTTTCTTATTTGCACAGAATGTGTATTTTAACTTAAACTAAAACATATCCAAAGGACAATGTTGGCCAAGTTGCAGCTCAAAACTAATTTAAAAAAAAAAAACTGTCCCCAAACTAGGGTCGAGATAGCTACTAAAATAACCGGTCACTGAGCATCAATGATTGATATTATAATCACCTTTCTCACGTGACCTTCTGCTGTTCAATACGCTAACGCTTTCATTGAAAATTTCATTGTGTTTTAGTCTCTGTTGTGACATTATCTATCGTACTTCCAACTTCACACTATGGGAGATTTTTGCGCAAATTTTAATAGGGTTTGAAGATAATATGTCTCTTATTTAACTTAATGCTTTTCATTAGGGGTGTTTTGAAAGAATTCTGGTGCTGACAATGTCATTAGTAAGTACTGTATAGGCTTATGTCGCCTCTGTATTATGGTCAGCAGAGCGATACATCTACCCCATCCCTTTTCATTAGAATCATTTAATAATTGTGCACATAAAATCAACACAGTCTCTCTCTCTCTCTCTCTCTCTCTCTCTTTCTCCATTTCAATTCATATTTCGAAAAAATCATATGTGCTAATGTTTACATTCCACAACCACGCGGTTTAAATGTCTCCGCCTACCTTAGATTCAAAAGTGGTCCCGTTCAAATTTCCGGAATTTAAGGCTTTTACATGTTCTTTTCAATTACATTGTCTTTAATTATAGAAATATGTATGACAAAAAATTCTCGAAGTAAATTTCAAAAGCATATGCTTGCACATTAATCATATATTAATTTAGCGATATATTGTAATGTTAAGCTTAAAATGGGTAGCCGAAAAGGTTCCAAATGACGTTCTTAAGTGCAGTCATTCTTTGGATAAAAGTATAATGCTATTAATTTAACTCTAATAATAATATATACAGAATCACTGCTTATAGTAGGCAACTTTTTATCTTTAACCTTTACAAATATAAATCCGTGTTAAACATGTTTTAATTACACAGAAAGCTATGTTAAGTAACACAGTCAAGTCTACAGAAGTAATCAGGAACAGGCCTTAATACAACCACTGAAGCAATCCTTGCCATCTTTCGGTTGAATTATTTTTTCAACAAAACAGTAAGGATCGGTGTTAACGCAGTCCTGAACTTCAGACTTTTCTAAAACAGGACAAGTCCGCTTGCAGAAAATAGAATCTGAAATGGAAACAGTTACAAGTTAAGTTCAAGAACCTAAGTTTCATATAGAGTGATGGAGGCTTCAGATGGTAATGTCAACAACAACGAGGGAAGTATGAATTTAAACATTATCATTACATAAAAGTATTAAAAAGGAAACCCCCTACATTAATGATTAACTGCCTATAATAACGTAAACTACTAGTATCTAAAACGTTTACTTTGCACAACCGATCAATACATCTGTTTTAGTATATGTTTGATGATGGATAAGTTAGATCAGTATAAATTATTTACTTTTCTAAACTCATATTAAAATAATAAATGACCAACAACAAAGACAACAAGCTTTGAGTCTAATGTAATTGAAACAAGAGGCCCATGGACCTTAACGCTCATCTCATGATCATTAACTATGTTCTTCCTGCTCTTCGTCAGTTTTTCCTATATATTTCTATCTAAAACTTTCTCGTATTGTAGCCGGTTTTGTCGTCATACAACTTACAACGACTTAAAAGTCATGATTTGAACAAAATTGAATGTGCACCATCTGAAGATGTTTGCAATTAGATATGAATAATTAGTTCTTGAAAAGATATGTTAAGTATATTCCTTTGTAAAAGAAAGTACAAAAACAAAAACAAAAAAAGTGAAAACTCCCGATTATTCTATTCGACTGGCATTTTCAAGGCTATATATGAACATGATGAATTCAAGAAGAAAAATTCTGAATTGTCAAGATAGCGTCTTACTCCGACAATCCAACTGACATCCGGTGAAACAGTCCTTTTCGAACACGGGCAGAACAGAGCAACAGGGGTCCTTGTTCAGGCATGCTTTCATTCTATACTGACTGGGAAGAGCGCACTCCAATTTATCTGAAAGTGAATTGAGTTAATTCTTATAAAACATGATAAATGTACAAAATACGGCCGGTAATACAGGTCTTTGTTACTACTGTTCCTTTCAACGGAACTCTCCGATCCTTTTTTTTTTTGGTAAATACCAAAAAGGTTTGTACTTTTAATCTCCATGATGGAAAATTAATTATGTCATTCACCATTGACTCATTATCTGTAAATTCAAATATGTACAACTGCTAAGGATAAATCAATGAAATCATAACTAAATCTACTTTTTGCTTCCAATTTAAAAAACATTTCCTTACGCGTATACAATAGTATTTGAGTTAGATAACCCCTACTCTTGAATATATAATATAGTAATGGTATGGAACCTACTCAATTAAAGTAACAAATATACTAGTAGTAATATCTACATATATAAAAGTAACTTACCGCGCATTATGAATGATATACAGCCTCCAACACAGAACGCAGTTATTACTAAAAAGGTCATGTTCACCATTCTGAAGAGTATACTTGTAATAGACAAAACCAAATTATGTAACAATATAGCTACTTTACTGAGTTTATCTGTTATATACGAGTAGGATGAGGAAACAGTCGTAAAAACGCAACATCTGGTTCTGTGACAGCTATTATCATTCAAATATTTCCAAAGATTTATTATTTAGACCTTATTTATGCTTAATATGAACCACTGATATATCAATTTAATTGATGGCTTGTTTATAAGTAAATATGTATTTACCTTTCGATTTGTCTTCTTTTTTTTTTAAACACCAGGTCAGGAAATCCGAAAGTGTAAGAGAGACTTTTAACAAAATCGAGATTCAAGGGGTAATTTTTGCTTTCCTGATCGGGGGAAACTTCAGTGAGGGGTAAAATTTGGAGGATCCCGACTCAGTTGGGAAAGTTGGAATGTATGCATAAATCTCTCTCAACCTATCTTAAAACTTCCAATATCATATATGAATTTGTGCCTAAATTGTTTAAACAAAATAAATACTCAATTCTACATTCAGGATGTTTTATTCATGATATGAAACTCGAAACGTTTTCTCCTATTATCAACCACCCTTCATCATTATAGCATAGTTGGTCATATCATGCTACAAAACACCTTGGGTGAAATATCTAGGGCTATTTGCGAACAGCATTCAGGCTCAAAAGTCTATTAAACAATATACAAAATAGTAGCAGAGCAAACACGGACCTCCAACACATCAGAGGTGGGATCAGGTGCCATGGAGCAGTGGGCATCCTCTGCCGACCGGTCACACCCGCCGTGTGCTCCTTGTCATGAGCGGGAAAATCCGTCGAAAATTCAGTGTAAATAATGGACTAACAATTTGTATGAAAAGCATCAGTCAGCATTTGACTCATTGATAAATTGTATTCGCTGACAAGTTTATTGTATCGATAATAGATCTTACGAACTGATGACTTTAACCGAGACTGCTGATATCCTTGCTTCATCAACTTGTTTGTAATACCGGGTAATTACCTTGTTTTAGAAATTGTTCATACGTACGAGGGCTGTTCAATAAATAATGTCCTGAACTGTATGACATACAATACAGAAATCATATGACATTAAGCTTGACTTTCTCTCATTATTTAAACTTTTATGAATTTATAACAGTTTATGTGACCACTTTTCATCACATAGTTCCATTGTGAGAAGCTGGAAAACAAGGGCTATTCGAGACACTGCATTATAAATGAATGGTAAAGAACAAGTAAACTAGAGTGAAAATAAAAGCTTCATTAAAGATGCTGTAAAACTTGTTCAAAATCCCAAAGAAATATTCACTTAAAATATGTGACATTTACAAAAACCAATGCCTGTTTAATAGACAAATGAGCAGAGGGATTTCAATGATAAAAAATTATATAATGGGCATCAAAAATGGGTACCATCCTTGCCAACACAAATTTATAACAACTTACGTAGTTTGCCAAATTCAACAAATATTATTATATAGTCTATTTATAGTCCCTATATAATCTATACAAACGCAAACAGTTCATAACACTACATATTCACCGGATTTTAGGCCGTATTCACCGGAGGGTCAATGCGCGTGCAACGGCATTGTGACGTCACAATCAGAACATCGAACAACGTTGTAAACAATTGTGGCCGTATTCACCGGAGGGTCACTGCGCGTGCAACGGCATTGTGACGTCACAATCATAACGTCAAACAACGTTGAAAACAATGCATGCACCGGCCGCAGCGAGCTACGTATATGAGCAGAAAAACAATTATTCAAACCTATTTCAGGATACATTTGGACGTCTTACATATAGCAAAATTCGGAAAGGAAAACACGGAGGTTACAAAGAGTAGTCTGGAGAATTTTTTCTATTTTCAACAATGGCAGATCGCAAATGAAAATGGTGTCGTCATACAGCCTTCACTGTCTTTTTTTTATTCAAATCCCGACTATATAATAAAACAATTATGGACTCTTTTGGTGTTGAATATGGTTTGTTATTCACCAGAAAAATATCCATATTGACCTCGGCTTCGCCTCGGTCAATATGAATATTTTTCTGGTGAATAACAAACCATATTCAACACCAAAAGAGTCCATAATTGTATAATATTTGATGATATATGATTGACTTTAAGACACAGCAAATTTGATAGACATCATTTCGGGAGTAGTTTACACTGTTTTTAAGAAACGTTTGACGGTAAAAAAGCTTAGTACTCAAAGGTCACCCTATATTTTGAAAAATGAGTGAAAACGACAGCGTGTACGAATGTCTCAACAATTATTTTAAAATATCTGTAGGGTTTGTTAGATATTCAAACAGATAATGGAACTTGAATCTATTGCTTAAAACCCTCAAAACAAAATTTACCATAAGATGTACTTGATAAAAAAAGCGAAGGTCTGACAAGAGCAAAGAATTGCAAGAGCACAAAGACAGATTTATATGCAATTTTCTTAAATATTAGTGGTATTGTTGTTCAAATTCGTATTCGGGGAGACAGTTTAATTTCTGGAGGAGGCTAGAAAGCAAATTTTTTGCAAAAAAATCGAAAGGTTTATTAGAGGAAGGACCCAGAATCAGGAATCCACTACATTAAATTTCTTCATGAGAACATCCAAACCCGCACGCCCTGAAGAGTAAAGGGGTTTTCGGGATAAACAGAAAGCTAATTTTTTCACATAAACAATAATCGCCAGATCTTTGACCTTTTGACTTGTTTCTAATTTCAAACTTGAAAAAACACCTTTCAGAAGGAAGAAACAAGTCCAGGAAATCATTGGATCTGCTATTTTCCAGTATACTGTCATGTTGTAAATTTTGAATTTAGGGGGCCTACCGGGTGGCAGTAAATACAAAATTTACAACATGTTGTAAATTTTGTATTTACTGCCACCCGGTAAATTCAAAATTTACAACATGATAATTCCAATCTCATTAGCATATTCGATAATCAAGCCTTCTAATTGGTTTATAAGCCACAGGCACAAATTTTTACACTTCGATAAAAAATCGAAAGCCGGAACTACTTTTTTGACATATATCTAATGTAAACAATATGGCCGACAATATGTTGTCGTAATTTCTTGGTGGAAATGCATTGTTGATAAAAGGATTTTATTTGAAGTATTTTGATTAAAAAAAACTTTAAATACAAAAGTTTTAACTTTTCTGATCATGGTTAAATTAAATATAAAATCTAGTATATATGTAAATACAACGTCTGCTTGGAATACTCATCAAGGGGGCAAACGGTCGTTAGGCTTTTGGCACTGGCAGTATGGAATCTTCAGATAGTGAAGAAACATTTGAAAGGCCTCTTGTAAACTTTCAATTATCTATGCCACCGGAAATAACTGATAACTCGGAGGTTTTAACACTTCTGGAGGTCCTAAAAGAAGATATAGAGGGTTTTGATGACATGCTCCTGGAGGCATTACAGCAGCAGAACCAGACAGAAGAGCACTGTGAATCAAATGTCACAATGGCAGAACCAGAACCCATTCAAAATCCTGTTTCATATAAAGAGACCCCAAATGAAGAGAAATCTAGATTTAAATGCCTTTCAGAAAAGGATTTGCTAGAAATTGAGAGAAACCAGTACTCTGATGCCACTAAAAGGAACACAAAATGGGGGATTGGTGTCTTTAATGGTAATGCTTACTTTGATACTTCTTAAAAATCACTGTAATGTTCATTCAGCAGCAATATCACATGTCTACCCACAGCAATGGTCAGTTTTGACATTTTGAATAACAATCAAAACATGATCATGCCAAAAATAGGATATGATTATAGAATGAATCCGTAACCTGTAAATAATTTTGAAAATAAAACAAAATTAATAAAAACCTGTATAAAAGTGCTAATTTAAAAATGTGACAATAAAAAAATAGATAACATAAAATTGTAATTCATTTTTAAACAAACATCTGAACATGCATGAACAAAATACTAAAAATACTACAAGTATCAGGGTATCAAAGGAATCTAAACTTATAATTTTTCAGCTTGGTGTCTGGAGCGACTAAATGAAACACATGACCTAGAAGTTGTTGATGCAAGCACTCTTAATGAAAGCTTAAGGAAGTTTTACGCAGAGGCCCAGCCAAAAAATCTCGTAAATCGATCAAAAGCAATAACCGAGGAACAGGCACAAGAATATCACAAAAATTCAATGAAAAATGTGCGAGCTGCAATAAATAGGCACTTAAAAGACATAGGAAGAGAAATTGACATAGTAAGAGACAAGGAGTTCATATAGACAAACTGCTAATGCGATGCTCACTTCAAAACTAAAATTTAACCTGCGTCAAGGCCTGTCAAGATCAACCAAGCATCATCCCATCATACCAAATGAAGATCTTGCAAAAATCAACCAGTATATCTCTAATGATAACCCTGTTGCCCTCAGATTTCGCATCTGGTATTTACTGGCAATCCATTTAGTAAGCAGAGGCTGCGAGTTTCATCACCAGCTAACTATGAAATCCCTGAAGTTTGCAAAAGATGAAAATGGGTTAGAGTATGTAACGATAAACCATGAAACGCAACAGAAGAACTACCAGGGTGGGCTAGATGACAAGTGCGAGGAAGCCCAGGACAAGAGAATGTACGCTACAGGAACATCAACATGTCCAGTGGAATCCCTCAGAAAGTTCATTCAAAAAACTGACCCAGCAGCCATTTCACTCTTTAATGAATGTGCACGAGATGCTTTGCGTGGAAAATCGCCTGAATCCTAAAATATGTATTTTTGCGTTTGAACAAGGTTTCATACTATGACGTATGACACTGTTTACAGCGTTAGGCTAGGCAGTAGGCTAGTCTAGTTAAAGTGAAAGTGGCAGTCTTTGAAGACAGAGCGTGCTCCAAATCCCGACAAATTCATGGATTCCCTGCTTATTTGGAGACTTTGATTGCTGACTGACTGTGTTTGAGTGGACGAAATCAAACTTGGAGGTAGGCTAAGCATGTTTGTTTTTTTTCTCCGCTTGCAACATTACTAAGAACAGAGCTGATGACATGTTTCTGTTCTGTGCTCGGGCGACGGCAGTATGACTTCAGTGATTCCTCCCTCTTGTGATCTGACATAAACATTATATGTCTGTCGGTAAGACCAGCATCGCTGTGATCGAAGTCGAACGGAGAGAGTGTGCAGTGAATCTAGTGGTCCCAGCGTTCTTGCAAATATCAGGCATGAATGTTGTGAATTTCTTGGGCTTAACTGGGGTGACTGTATACCATACTGAAAAGGATTCAGGCGATTCTCCACGCAAAGCATCTCGTGCACATTCATTAAAGAGTGAAATGGCTGCTGGGTCAGTTTTTTGAATGAACTTTCTGAGGGATTCCACTGGACATGTTGATGTTCCTGTAGCGTACATTCTCTTGTCCTGGGCTTCCTCGCACTTGTCATCTAGCCCACCCTGGTAGTTCTTCTGTTGCGTTTCATGGTTTATCGTTACATACTCTAACCCATTTTCATCTTTTGCAAACTTCAGGGATTTCATAGTTAGCTGGTGATGAAACTCGCAGCCTCTGCTTACAAAATGGATTGCCAGTAAATACCAGATGCGAAATCTGAGGGCAACAGGGTAATCATTAGAGATATACTGGTTGATTTTTGCAAGATCTTCATTTGGTATGATGGGATGATGCTTGGTTGATCTTGACAGGCCTTGACGCAGGTTAAATTTTAGTTTTGAAGTGAGCATCGCATTAGCAGTTTTGAACTCCTTGTCTCTTACTATGTCAATTTCTCTTCCTATGTCTTTTAAGTGCCTATTTATTGCAGCTCGCACATTTTTCATTGAATTTTTGTGATATTCTTGTGCCTGTTCTTCGGTTATTGCTTTTGATCGATTTACGAGATTTTTTGGCTGGGCCTCTGCGTAAAACTTCCTTAAGCTTTCATTAAGAGTGCTTGCATCAACAACTTCTAGGTCATGTGTTTCATTTAGTCGCTCCAGACACCAAGCTGAAAAATTATAAGATTAGATTCCTTTGATACCCTGATACTTGTAGTATTTTTAGTATTTTGTTCATGCATGTTCAGATGTTTGTTTAAAAATAAATTACAATTTTATGTTATCTATTTTTTTATTGTCACATTTTTAAATTAGCACTTTTATACAGGTTTTTATTAATTTTGTTTTATTTTCAAAATTATTTACAGGTTATTGATTCATTCTATAATCATATCCTATTTTTGGCATGATCATGTTTTGATTGTTATTCAAAATGTCAAAACTGACCATTGCTGTGGGTAGACATGTGATATTGCTGCTGAATGAACATTACAGTGATTTTTAAGAAGTATCAAAGTAAGCATTACCATTAAAGACACCAATCCCCCATTTTGTGTTCCTTTTAGTGGCATCAGAGTACTGGTTTCTCTCAATTTCTAGCAAATCCTTTTCTGAAAGGCATTTAAATCTAGATTTCTCTTCATTTGGGGTCTCTTTATATGAAACAGGATTTTGAATGGGTTCTGGTTCTGCCATTGTGACATTTGATTCACAGTGCTCTTCTGTCTGGTTCTGCTGCTGTAATGCCTCCAGGAGCATGTCATCAAAACCCTCTATATCTTCTTTTAGGACCTCCAGAAGTGTTAAAACCTCCGAGTTATCAGTTATTTCCGGTGGCATAGATAATTGAAAGTTTACAAGAGGCCTTTCAAATGTTTCTTCACTATCTGAAGATTCCATACTGCCAGTGCCAAAAGCCTAACGACCGTTTGCCCCCTTGATGAGTATTCCAAGCAGACGTTGTATTTACATATATACTAGATTTAATATTTAATTTAACCATGATCAGAAAAGTTAAAACTTTTGTATTTAAAGTTTTTTTTAATCAAAATACTTCAAATAAAATCCTTTTATCAACAATGCATTTCCACCAAGAAATTACGACAACATATTGTCTGCCATATTGTTTACATTAGATATATGTCAAAAAAGTAGTTCTGGCTTTCGATTTTTTATCGAAGTGTAAAAATTTGTGCCTGTGGCTTATTGCCTGACGTCACGGCGTCAGGCTGTATAAGGATTGATAATTGCTTGATCCGAAACTAATAGATCATACCCAGAGAGCTAGATTTTGTGCAAGCTGATTTACATTGGAAATCTTTTACTTGCATTTTAAAAGAAACATTTTTCAGGGAAACAATGATTTTACTGATGCAAAATAATGCAGTATTTACTTTGTTTACTCTGTTTGCATGAAACAGATTATTCCATGTGATTTACCGTTTCAACGTGTCCGTGTATCTTTTTTTCTGCACTTCTATACTACTGGGTCAGTCCATTTATATTCTACTAAAGGGGTGAATCGCTCTTTTCGCGCCAAATGTCACGAGTAAGCGATCTTGGATTGTACTATTGTATGAATGGGGGTGCTAACTTCCATGGAATTTACATGTAATAAAGTTTGTTATTGTTACCTCCATCTTCTAATGAATCAGAAATTCTGTCTAATAAATTTTATCTTATCCTTAAAACAGCATATGAATCGTACATGTATCAGAATATGGACATGCAAAACAAAAGAAATGATTTCTCTAATTTGTTTCCCCGCTGTTGGTTCATTCCATATTTTAATGGACTAGTCCAATCACCACAAACGATCGACGCAGTTCAAACAGATTCCAGACGATTTGACAAAAGAAATTACCTGTGCGAAATCTTGGATTTCTTTTCCACAGAGGCTTTAATGTTGGTTTTACCTATTTCGTTCTCAACAAATTATAGTAACCACCTTTCAGAAAAAAGATCAATGAACACAAACTACTACTGTTTACTTCATTGGAGAAAATGCTTTCCTACAACATATGTATTTAGTTTTATCCCATGTTTAACCCTTTATCCCGTTGATATAGCTCATGTGATATCGTTTTCATATCACACAGTTGTGACGTCACAATGGATTTTGCGTTAGAGTGATGAAGTAAAATGAAATGGAATCCTATATAAAAACAATGTCAAACATTGTTCTTGGTGTAAAAAAACATGGGATAAAAAGAATCTCACATGATTTGTAGTTGGATATGATTTTTATCCAACTCGTTGAGTGTTTTTATCCCCTCGCCAAGGCTCGGGGATAAAATCCACACAACTCGTTGGATAAAAATCATATCCAACTACAAATCATGTGAGATCCTATATATATCCATTCTCTAAAATATTCACAATGAATGATTTGACAACAGATTTCAGAATAGGTGTAGCTTTAAATTTAGATCCAGGGGTAGATCAATCTACTTGCAGAGTCAATCGCATCATCTCAAGTCTTTTCTTCAGAGGTCGAAAAACAAACTCGAATGTATCGACATCATCGGATGTTTAAAATTTCTACATTTCCTGATCATAGTAAAAACGGAGTTAGAAGTCCCTTCTATAGTATATTTTAGATAATATCATTGCATTGAATAAAGTTAACTCCACATTCCACAGATAATAGGTCTATATACATAATCCATGCTTTTATTTCAAAGTTTGTGAAAAGGGGGGGGGGGGGTCATGGCGTATAAATTAACAATTACATTTGTGGACCTCTTCCCTAGATAAGGCCTGAGGAGTGGGACCGAGGAGTTGCGATTGGCAGAAAACCCACATACATTAACCATTCTTTTAACAACTCTTCAGAATGCAGCAAAGGCATCGTTCTTCTACAGGTTACATGTGTAAATAATTAAATATTTTTACAGGGTTCTCAAATAAAAAGACATATTTCAAACACAAAAAAGTATTGCTCAAAAGGTTTATCACTTCTCTTACAGATATTGATCGATTAAGTCAGGCAAGCTTTTTGAAAAGCTGTTACTTGTAAACCAATTAGAAGGCTTGATTATCGAATATGCTAATGAGATTGGAATTATTTTTTGTTAATGTTTGTTTATTAAAATTCACTTAACGTTCCAGTTCTTAGGAATTATTTTTTCATATGATATATTCCTACGCGCTCGGTAAATGCAAGATAAAAATAACAGAAAGGGGCCCTGCATAGGGTTTTAAAATATTTTTTTTAAAATGTTAACACAGATTGGAATTATAAGGATTAAACGTTCTTTTTGAGAATTTTATCGATGTGTAAACTCTTGACATTTTACTCACAAACTTAACATAAAAGTGCGAATACTAAGGGTTATACCCAAAAATGAGTTCTAAAAACAATCAGAAATTGGATAAAAAATGTTACGAACATGTGTTAAAATTAAAAGAGATTGAAAAGTTAAATCATGAAGATTAAATCATTGAAAAGCGTCTTTTGCTTCTTTCCGAGCACCGAGGACATTATCTATTGAAAAGCCCTCGTTGAGCATGCTCTGTTACAACGCACTTTGAAAAATTACGCACTTTGAAAAAATTTTTCACAGTGCGTTAAAATTTGGGACCAAGCTAACGCACTTTGAAAAAAAATAATTTTTTTCAAAGTGCGTTAATATCGACCATATTAACAAACTTTGAAAAAAATGTAAAGATTGATCAATATTCCTTCAAATAATCGGTATGATAAATAACAGATCCTGGTTTGATAACTATTTTATGATAAAGTTGCTGTAGGACCTGAGATATTGACGTTTTAAATATTTAAGGTTTTGATAAAATAAAAGGGAAAATTAAAGGGTCTTGAAAAAAAGAGTGACGATTGTGTAAGTTCATTAATTCGTTTCCTTTTTTTTTTATTTTAGTCTTTGATAAATAGATGTAAAGGTGTATAGGGGGCATTAACAGAGGAAAGCTTCAAGCAACTTAGCATTTATCATAATAAAAAGGGACCAATTTGATTGTTCAAAACTATGAAAATTCTTTCTCTCTCATACGTTTTACTGTACTTAAAAACTTCTAGTTTTCATCTGTTTTAATTAACTCATTTATTATTGAAAGTTTTCAACGACATACCAGTTAGGTTAATACATACATGTAATTACATATGAATGCTTTGAGTATAGCATAGACATCGAGACTGGGCGAAGGGCCAGGGGAGGGGAAGAGGGCTAAGCCCCCCACTTATTTTTGAAAGATATATACATCGTTTAAGCATTGAAAATGCAGCGTACCCTTTTTAGGTTTATTGCTCCCCTCCCCCGTTTGTTACCGACACCTATGTATTGGAAAGATAAAGATTTGGACTGAGGGATTTTATACCCGTCTTCTCCTCTTTTCGACGGGAGTAAATCAATTCATTTTTGAGGTTAGGGTTAGGCTTAATTTTTTTAAAGATAAATAACAAATAAAATCTTTCCATGACTAAAACATGATTTTTTTTTCAAAGTGCGTTAAGTGTCTCCATGGTAAAATATATTGATGTAGACTTTTAACGCACTTTGAAAAAAAATTTCAAAGTGCGTTGAGTTGGTCCCAATTTTAACGCACTTTGAAAAATGTTTTCAAAGTGCGTAATTTTTTCAAAGTGCGTTGCCACAATGCTCTTGCGTATCAGACCAACTGAGATATATAAACTCCGTATGCAGGTAATGGAGGTGCCTTGCTGCGTAAGTTAGAGAACATGACGATTGAAAAGTTAAATTCATCACGTTTATCATAAAGCTTGGTTGTTAGATTTCCATTAACGTCTTTTAGAATACAATATCCAAATATGAAACAGATGTGTCAGACTTTGTGGTATCTTTTATCTCAAGCTCACCGGGATATATTTTATCGACATCAGAATGGAAATAACGATGGTTAATTGACAATACGTCGATATATCTAAATGTTGGGTTGACGACCAGAGCAAGCGTTTTCTTCTTTTCACGTAAAAGATTTTGAACAAATTCTGCTTCATATGAATAAAAAAAATAGGTCTGCTTATAATGGGGCACAATTGGTACCCATGAGAATTCCAATTGTTGGAAGACCTGAGCCCCCAAAACCATATAGATATTGTCAATCAGAAACTCAACCATCTTTTTAATGTCAACTTTAGAGAACACTGTACATGTGTGTACAATCAACGTTTTTAACAAAATAATTTTGCAAATGACCAATGACAAGGTAAGTGAATTTAGGAGTTCCATTTTTATTGAAAAACAGCTGTCAAAGAAGAAGAATTAGAATTCTTTAACAAAATAACAAGGTCTATAAAAACATAAAAAGAAAATCTCTCAACAATGTTTCCTTAAGTATCATAACATTGCTTATCTTAGGATTTCTTATCTCAAAGAAAAATATGTATATACCCGTAAATAGATAATGGTATTTATGCCTCCTATGAGAAATATCAGCCTGAAAGATTTATTTAAAGCTACAAGGATGATTCCTGAGCAGAAAATACCAACATTACTCCAAATTTATTTTCCTATGAATAAATATCTTATATTACAAAATTTCACAAAAATACATACTTTTTTTCAAAATCATTCTGTATTTGTGAATAAAGCATCTAAAACTTTCACCTGAATGACACCAGTGTCCTGAATGTCAACTAAAATAACCCCAGAATTTATTTCCAGCAAGATAAAAATATATATAAATTCATTAGATAAAATATTGCACTCTTCTGAACATGATAACTGTACATATACTTATGATTGCACAATATTTATAACATTACAAGAAAGCATTGACAATTATTAAAAAAAAAAAAATTTCGTAATGTTGAAATTTTTTTGTTTCCGTCAGAGATTCTGCAATTTAATTATAAACAACGTTTTAATTAATCAAACAGGTCTTGCAGAAGAATTACACATGTACCGGTACATATATATATTTCTTTTTTTTTTTTTTAATTTCCAACTACATGGAGATTTTCAACCCTTATCTTCATAAAATATATAATAACTATAATTATAAATAAATCAAAGTTTGAATTCTCAAAATAAAAAAAAAGGAATTCTCAACATTAAGAAAAGAAATACACTAGTGGAAATGGGTATGTGAATCATGTAAACAATTTGTCTAAATGAATTGTTTATAAAAATACTGTCATGGCACAGATACATACTGCCTTCAAATATTGGTCATTCATTAGCAGATTATAGCGTAAGGATGTCAAGGAAGAAAATCAGGTCATCACTGGCCCATTACCGTAAATCTGGAAATTTTTACGTCGATTTTATTTTGCGAATTCGGGTCAAAATGCTGTTGATCGATTTTTACATTTCAAAATTTTGCGAATGATCACTGCTTTGTTTACTTTTTCTTATTGGGGATTTATTTTTAAGAAAAATATTTTTGCGAATGCAATGAACTCGCAAATTTGCTAAAAATTTATCTACAGCAAAGATTTCCAGATTTACGGTACTTGAGGGGGGGGGGGGGGGGGGGGCTTTGGGCAGTTCAGTATTAAATTCACCAGATAACCCCTAAAGAGACTGATTGTTCTTGCAAAACTTGTATTAAATTGTAATGAAAATTTATTCACTTTTTAATTTTAGCACTGATGACAATTCAAAAATTTGAAATATAAAAATTAACAGCTTTTTGAGCCTGATACGCAAAATGAAATCAAAGTAAAAATTTCTAGATTTATGGCATTAAATAATAAGAAGCCAAGCATGGTTTGTCACATCCAGGAAATTCCTTCAAGTCATCAAATCTGGCTGAAAACTTGTCATCTTTTATCACATTATTGTCATCATAGAATGCCATTCCACCAGGTCTGGACACCCACACCATAAAGTGCTGGTTGGCATGCACATAAATAGCACCCAGTCTGTATCTATTGCCCAGTACATAAATCACATTTGGTAAATGCTCCATTCTAAAGTTTAAGTGGTGTAGTTTTAGGAAAAGGCATGGTGGTGGTTCTGGAAATGTCCATCTGATTTGGTCCCCACATACAATGCAACTAAATAAATAAAGAATTAAAAAAAAAACAGGAATCAATGATTAGTTCAACTACATGAATGTTAAAAAATATTTAATCCTATCAATGAACGAGGAAACCAGTAAAGAACACATTTATTTCATCATATATATAATAAAAGCAAAATACACTACTATGACTTCAAATATATTTGAGTCAGAAATACATGCATGCAGATATAGATTTCATCTTGGTTATCAATTGCAGAATCACATTAAAAAATTTAAAGGCTTGACTGTATATGTGTACATATACTTGTCAAAATAATTTATATAATCATGCAATACCTGGCAGTGAAATGACAATCAATCCAATGCTGAAAAATCCTAATGCCATCGACAAACTCACCGGAATATTTGTGGCATTTACACCTCCTGCAATATAATTTTTGAAAAACATCAACCAAACATAACAGCACTATTATTTCACATATCACAAAATCAAATATACCAAAGGTCCATCCGCAACATTGCTCACTTCAGATCTTAGGCTAGAATAAAAACAGAAATCACTAGTTCCCTATTGAAAACCCTTAAGGGGGGTATAGTGCATGTAAATGTAAAATGTAAATGAGATAACATATATAGCATAACAATTTAGTGTGAAGTTGATGCAAAAAACCAGGCAGGCCCATGGGCTAAAATATATTGTGGAAAAGGAGGATGTCCCTTCAGGTACATGTAATTTTGAAAAATTTTATCAATTAAAACTACTTTACATATTATTTCCATGGTTATAAACATCTTTGCTACTTAGCCAAGGGTTTCTGATATGCTATTCTCCTCATAAGCCTCGTAAGTTGGGATTTTTTTCTCAAGCTGTCATTGCAGTGTCAATCGACACCGCTTGACCAATCAACAATTGTATTTTGTAAATGACGATATCTGTGTTCGTGACGTATTTTGACTCTTTACTCTCAGGAATGAAAAACGCAGATTTGCACATTAAATAACAAATGAAAAACCAATGCCTCGTCAATTATTCTTTAAAAACTTTAATGATTTAAATACATTATTTATTTCTGTTCATGATGCAATTTGTGCATACCTGTTCGAAATCATGTGCTGAAAAGAATCCCGTCTTTCAACAGCACCATATGCCAAGGGATTATGAGGAGAGTAGCGAATATGGGTTATAAAGTGTTGCTTACCCAATAAAAATCTGTTCTTTCTTGTTCACTCTTTCCACTGTGCAACTGCATTTTCCTTTAACTATAATTTTTCCTTTCATCAGTTCACATACAAAATTTATCAATTCAAAGTGAAACTGTTCAATGTTTGTTTCACTTGCTGATATCAGTTCTGTATGTATAAGAATCTCCCTCATTCCTCTGGCAGAATTTCTCCTCCCTTTCCTCAGCATATTTAAAATGGCCTAAATTTAATAACACATAAATATTAGGAATAAATATGCAGAATAAAGTTACGTTGTAGCTCTACAAAGCTGAATATGACTCAAATAAAACTCATCTTATAAAACTGTATGAAAAAAGTACATGAATTTTACTTAAAGTTCAAGTGAGAACTTAATGTCACTTTATTTGAAATTGTGTTCATTTCACATAACTTCTAAATAAATAATTGACTTTTATTATACTAATTTTTTTTGTTTCTTTTCTTTTTTTTTGTGGGGGGGGGGGGGGGGGGTTTACACTGAATGCACCTCAAACAATACACCCAAAGGCAACAATGCTCACCTGTATCACTATGGCCTAGCTGTTCTTTATCAGCAGATTTTTCTAAATATTTTAAATTTTAAAAACTTAGATTGTCTTTATAGCACCTCCCTACCTCAGGGTAATGACTTGAACAAAGTAATTGAGGGAAACTGCATCCCATGTTTAAAGAAAATGAAGAGGGTGGAAAGCCTGGGCAAAATATGCAAATGATAAAAGAAAAAATAATCTGTAAACTGCATGTGTGCAATATATATCTGACCTTGACCTTTTGACTTATTTGGTTTTAATTGTTAATCAATAATCCATAGTAGGAAAGTGTACTTTATCTTCTTACTATATGTAGTAAATGGGATGGAAGAATTAACTTGGGAATGAATAGAAATATGATGAAAATAAGTAATATTAAAAAAACATATATATCATTATATGTACATTAATATGTAGTAAGTAGAAATGAGAATAATCAATCATTTAATAAATAAAGAATTTTTGTCATTATGTTATAGAAATAGGGAAAAAAACCTCCCTTATCTACTTTATCATCAGTAAAACAATTAAAAAAATAGCCTCCCTCCCTCATCTTTTTTCAGAAAAAAGATAAGCCCCAGGGAACGTTAGAAATTTATGTAAACTTAAGAACATCATACACCTTTGTATTTTCTTATTAAACTTTCATTTTGGGGGGAGTCAGAACCTTCTTTTCAACAAATGTAAATCCCTTGCACCATGATGCTCCTTTTTAGCAAGTTGGGTTGATGGTTTTCTGGGTTTAGAGAACAAATGGCAAATGGGAAATGTCAACACATGTAAGATATATCAGGATAATAGATAAACAACAAACTGAGAATATTAAAATGTTAATCAGAATAAAAAAAATAATTTAGCCCTTGGGTCAGTTAAGCAATAAATCACATGAATTTCTTGTAAATAATTAGAAAACTGGCTGCATGGAAACAGGAATTAATCCTGCCTGAAAATAAAAACATCTTTAAAACAAGAGGCCCAAGGGCCACATCGCTCACCTGAGCACATATACTAGGAAAAAGCACATATCAGATCAAAACGGAAAGTTTACTGGGGGGGGGGGCTTGAATTTTAACCCTCCTGGGTGTCATGATTTGAACAATGTACAATCTACACTACCTGAGGATGATTCCATATAAATAGAAAAATATCACTAATCATGGCTTTGAAGTACTTGAAAAGATTTTGAAAGGTTTCCCTATATATCCTTGTGTACAACTTTGGTCAGCCATTTTGGGCCCAAAACTAGCCCCAGAGGTCATGATTTGAACAAGCTTGAATCTTCACTAACTGAAGATGATTCCACATAAGTTTTGTCTTTCCTGGCCCAAAGGTTCTTGAGAAGAAGATTTTTTTTAAAAAAATTTCTATACATTCCTATGCAAAACTTTGGTCAGCCATTTTGGCCCCACCCTAGCCCCAGAGGTCATGATTTGAACAAACTTGAATCTACACTACCTGAGGATAATTTCATTTAAGTTTCATATTTCCTTTCTCAATGATTCTTAAGAAGAAGATTTTTTAAAAAGATTTTTCTTAAATATTCCTATGTAAAACTTTGGTTGGCCATTTTGGCCCCACCCTAGCCCCAGGGGTCATGATTTGAACAAACTTGAATCTACACTACCTGAGGATGATTCTTCCTGAGTTTCATTTTTCCTGGCCCAGTGGTTCTTGAGAAGAAGATTTTTAAAGATTTTTCCTATATATTCCTATGTAAAACTTTGGTCGGCCATTTTGGCCCCACCCTAGCCCCGGGGGTCATGATTTGAACAAACTTGAATCTACACTACCTGAGGATGATTCCACATGAGTTTCATCTTTCCTGGCCCAGTGGTTCTTAAGAAGAAGATTTTTAAAGAATTTTCCTATATATTCCCATGTAAAACTTTGGTCGGCCATTTTAGCCCCACCCTAGCCCCGGGGGTCATGATTTGAACAAACTTGAATCTACACTACCTGAGGATGATTCCACACGAGTTTCACTTCATAATTATCTCCCCTTGGAAGAGGGCGTGGCCCTTCATTTGAACAATCTTGAATCCCCTTCACCCAGGGATACTTTGTGTATGTTTGGTTGAAATTGGCCCAGTGGTTCTTGAGAAGAAGATGAAAATGTGAAAAGTTTACGACAACGACAACGACGCCAACAACGCCAACGCCAACGACAACGACAGACGACGGACAAATTTTGATCAGAAAAGCTCACTTGAGCCTTCGGCTCAGGTGAGCTAAAAATAAATAATATTAATAAAACTTCTGTTTTACCATGAATGGATTATCAGAACCATCTCCTGTACTGTAGTTTTGATATGCATCAAATATGGCTGGGAACTGTTCCAACATACTTTTTTGATCAACAAAAAATGTGTTCAAACCACAGACTCCATTGGAGGTGATAATCCTTCCAAGTTCATCTTTATATTTCCTTTTGTTGCAGGATGGTAAACCTTGTAAAAAAATTATATTAGATAGAATTCTTGCTGGTTTTTAGTCAATAGATGCATGATTTAGCCACCTAAGAAATACTAATTTACTTGAACAAACAGCAGTTACTACATGTATGTTATTATATGACTTATTTAATTAAACATAATTATTGATACAAACTCATTGAGTAAATCACAGGCCTTACTTAACCCTTTATTTGTACAGGGTCCTCTACCCTTTCTTGTTGGAATTTTTAAACTTAAAATTTAAACAAGAGGCCCAGGCCTGAGGGGCCACATCACTCACCTGAGCACATAGGCTAGGAAAGAGCACAAATCAGATTAGAATAGAAAAGTTTACTGAGGGGATGGTGGTGGGGTGGGGAGGGTGGGGGCTTGAATTTTAATACTATTTGAGAATGCCTTCATATCAATACAGCATATAACTTTGCTGTTCTTGAGAAAGATTTTTAAAGATTTTATTATCATTTTGTTTGTATATATATATATATTACTTTGTAATAATTTGAATTTGATTCCCCATCCTTTCCCTCCCAACCCAAAGGTTCATGATTTGAACAAATTTAAATTTTCAATACATGAAGATGCTTACAGGTCAATATGACTGAAGCATAACTTTTCTGTTCTTTGGATTTTTCCCTTTATTTTCCTTTGTAAAACTTTGATCCACCAATGAGACCCCACTCTACCCTCGGGGGTTATGATTTTAACAAATTTAATTCTACACTACCTGAGGATGCTTCCATATAAATATCACTATAATCATGGCTTTGCTATTCTTGAGAAGAAGATTTTTGACAATATATTTCAATGTAAAACTTGGATCCCCCATTGTGGCCCCACCCTACCCCTGGGGGGTATGCTTTAAACAAACTAGAATCTACACTACCTGAAGATGATTCCATATAAATATCATATACATGTATATATCGGTAATAATGGCTTTACAGTACTTGAGAAGATTTTAAAAGATTTCCCAATATATATCCCTATGTAAAATTTGGATCGGCCATTGTGGCCCCACCCTACCCCTGGGGGTCATGATTTGTACTTGAATCTACACTACATGAGGATGATTCAACATGAGTTTCATTTTTCCTAACCCAATGGTTCTTGAGAAGAAGATTTTAAAAGACTTTTCTTACATATTCCTATGTAAAACTTTGATCAGCCATTGTGGCCCCACCCTACCCCCTAGGGTCATGATTTGAACAAACTAAAATCTACACTACCTGAGGATGATTTCTGCAATTAATTTTTCACCACTTCATAATTATCTCCCCTTGGAAGAGGGAGTGAATTTTTGTTCGGTTGAATTGGCCCAGTGCTTCTTGAGAAGATGAAAATGTGAAAAGTTTACATGTACATTGTAACAACAACAACAACAAGGACAGACAATAGACAAATTTTGATCAGAAAAGTTCACAAGTATATTGAGGTCTTAGCAAAACAAAATGAGAAAATAGCATGATTAGAATAAACATAACCAATTTTATAATTTTGAAATTGAATTTCTTAATCTTTTTTTCCAAATATCAAGCACATAGCATTGAAGTGTTGGGTGGAGGGGTAAGGGAAGGGGTAGGGAAATGACAGCAAAAAATTTTTCCTTCCTCCAAATTCACATTTGGGGTAACAAGGGATTTGACTATATCAAAAAAGATTGGGAGGGGGCTAGTAGCCTATCTTTTAAAGAGCAATGTCATGCTAATACATACTAGTATGTAAATTACAATTTCATGTATATATACCTCTCCAATACTTTGTGCCATAATGATATGTTCACCTGAATAAAAATTGGGTGCAGGTAAAATACTTTTTCATAACTAATTTAGTATCTGTATCAATTTAGAAGTTTCTAACTTTTTTTGCTTAATGTAGAAAAATGAAGATAATTAGATAAATAAAAAAGGTTCTGGTGCAATACAGTTCACCAATAAATTCTATCAAATTTCATTTGTTATAAATATTATTATCATGATTATTATTATGTACTCCATGCAATCATGGGTCATAGTGCCCTTTCTACTCCACAGTAATCATGTGTTAACATTCATGTTAAATTTTATCAAAAGTAAGAGCAAACCTTCAGATATTTCTAGACTATTGGCTGGATCCTGGTATATTGGAATATTGTCATCTATAATCAGACACCACTCCTCATGCAATATCTTCTGCAACTTGGCATTGCAATCAAGTGTATTTTCAAGTTGCTCCTGAGTGTAACTCTTGTCACAGGCAAAACATTTAATTTTGCGTTCGGCTTTGTTAAAATAAAAACCATGTTTGGCTAATAGCACGCTTGATATCTTTTGAGATGAGAAACTAGAAAGAGAATAGACTCTTAGCCATTCAATCCTCATATTCTCTGGCACATCCTGCATATACATCCAAAGTAATGGATATACATGAATTGTTGATAGGTTTTTGAATGAGATAAGTTTCTTTACGGATCTTGCTGATTTTAGGATTGAAGCAAGAAGTCTCTTACTTCTATCACAATTTTTTTGTTTAAAAAATCTTGTTATTTCTGTCATTATTGTTTTAAACAGAGTATTACACTTAAGTTTTTTGCTGATGGCTTTACTATCTTCTGGTTTCAGAAGTTGCAAGACTTTTCCACAGGCATCTTTTTGATTTGTTGTTGTTTGTTTCGCTTCTAAAATTTCTTCAATCGGAATTTCATTATTATTAGATGAAATTTGCACTTGGAGTGAAAGATTGCTACTATTTTCAATGTCATCTGTGACAGTTGAAAATTGTTCTTCATTTCCTATCAATGTGTTGTCCAAGGAATCTGATGCAGCCTCACTCTGAGAATAGAATCCAGAATCTGTAGGCAAGGTAACATTGTCTGGGAGCCTGTCTCGTTTTACAACGGGCTCATTTAGCTCTTTTATATTCTGCAATACTAAGTCATTTTCTATTTCCCCCTTGTACAGGTGAGGGGCATCCTTTAAAGTCACTGGTTGATCAGTTTTCTTGTCTTCTACATTCTCTTCAATATGTCTTTCTAAGCTCTTTTCATTTCTTGTTCGATGACAAGTGTTTGTGAAGTCTCTGTCTTCATCCTCAAAAACAGAGAATGTCCAATCAACAGTTCCTTTTACTGTCAACTCTCCAGAATTCACTGTAGCACTTGATTCTGCCATTTCTTTAACCGGAAGTTGCATGCAGTCACAATAATATTTCATATACACATACCACTTGATGTCTTTTCAATTTGTTCTTAATTACAGTCATCTTAATTATTTAGATCAGTTGTGCAGTTTGAATCAAAAATTCAATTATTTGACATATATAATCACTAACAGCATACACAAAATTGAAAATGAACATCTTTAAATCTGAAGACAGCGTCTTGACGTTTCGTTGGGAGTACATGTATCACATACTCCATTGTCCATTCTATGGTGCAGTAAGCATTATGATTCTGTAGCTTACTGTTTTTAAAGACTGTTTTAGGACGCTTCTGTAAGATATTGTCTTTACCTACAAAATAAAGAGCAAAAACATATAAAAAATTTAACCATGATTAAACATAGGTAATCAGAGATTACAGAGCCTACCTCAACGAATGTTGTCTTTAAGTAAGGCAAAGTCACACAATTACCGAACAAAAAGTGTACATCCAAAAATGCAAAATTTATGTAATTTTGATCTGATACTTTGGAATAGACCTATATAAAAACTTCGAACTAGTTCTTCATCACAAAAATGTGATCAAAATCTAGCATCTGAAGCAAGTTTAAGAGTTTTCATCCCTTGATGCATCATTTGGACAAGTTTGGTTCATTTAAGCCTTATAGTTTCTTGGTGACAGACAGGCACCCATAACTTTTACCTGGTCCATTATCTGGAAAATGTATGTCGAATTCAGCATCCGGAGCAAGTCCATTAGTATGCATCCTAAGATGTATCATCCATGCGAGTTTGTACAACATAGGGCTAATAGTTACTTAGAAATGAAACCTGCATAAAAATTTAACCTCTTCACTCATCCAGAAAAAAAATGCAGGTCAGATTCAGCATCCGAAGCCAGCTTGGTAGAATGCAACCTTAGATGTATCATCCATGCAAGTTTGGTCATTAAAGAGCTTATAGTTACTTGGAAATGAATCCTGCATCAAAAACTTTAACCTGTTCACTCATCCAGAATGTAAGTCAGATTCAGCATCAAAGCAAGTCTGGTAGCATGCATCCTAAGACGTACCATCCATGCAAGTTTCGTCATTATAGGGCTCATTGTAACTTGGAAATGAACCCTGTACCAAAACCTTTAACCTGTTCACTCAACCGGAAAATGTAGCTCAGATTCAGAATCCAGAGCAAGTCTGGTAATGTGCATCCTTAGATGTATCATCCATGCAAGTTTGGTCAACATAGGGCTTATAGTTACTTGGAAATGAGACCTGCACCAAAAACATTAACCTGTTCACTCAACCTGAAAATGTAGGTCAGATTCAGCATCCAAAGCAAGCCTGGTAATGTGCATCCTTAGATGTATCATCCATGCAAGTTTGGTCAACATAGGGCTTATAGTTACTTGGAAATGAGACCTGCACCAAAAACATGAACCTGTTCACTCATCCTGAAAATGTAGGTCAGATTCAGCATCCGAAGCAAGCCTGGTAATGTGCATCCTAAGATGTACAATCCGTGCAAGTTTGGTCAACATAGGGCTTATAGTTCCTTGGAAATGAGACCCACACCAAAAACTGCACCAAAAATGTTAACCTGCTCCAAAAACATTAACCTGGTCATTCCTTTGCTGAAATTGCAGCATCTGAAACTTTGTCTGGTACAAAGAAACACAGTAGAAGCATCTTCCATGCATGTCTTATCAATATAGTACTTAGAAGTACTTAAAAGAAACTGCTCCAAAAAACTTAACCTTAACCTGGGATGCCGACGCCGAGGGTATTACATAAGCTCCCCCAACTTCGTTGAGGTGAGCTAAAAATCAATGAAAATCCAATATCAAGTGGTTGAAATCTCTAAACAAGAAGACTACATGTATGGTCCACCATGCACACCTGAGTAACTTAGGCCCTGCTGTTTGTCACCAGATTTCACTCCCTTCAATACCTATTGTGGTCCCAACCCTTCTGAGTCATGGTTTGAACATTTTATAATCTACACTACTCCAGAACCTTTTAAAATAAGTTTCAGCTTTTCTTGGCCAGTAGCTCTTGAGAAAAAGATTTTCCTATATTTTAATTTCAATGTAACACTTGGATTCCCTATTGTGGCCCCACAAAAACCTAGAGGTCATAATTTGAATAATTTAGTTCTACACAACACCAGGGTGTTTCCACATAAGTTTCAGACTTTCTTGCCCATTTTTACTATTTATATATATTTCAATGTAAAACTTGGATTCACTATTTTGGTCCTACCTTATCCCAGACAGCCGGTGGGGCATCATGATTTGAGCAATTTAGAATCTACACCATACCAGAATATTTCCACATAAATTCAAGCTTTTCTGGCCCAGTATTTTTGTAGACGACAAACGTAAGCATTTGTGTGGCAAAAGCTTTTAGCCTTTTAAATAAGACAAGACATCTAGTTATTAAAATATTAAGGACATGACAAATTAGTGATATACGAACAAGTATATAACAAGTGGTGAGCTAAAAATGGTATATAGTATAATATGGAATCCCCTATTATATATTCCGATATATGATTCTGATTCCAATAATATATTCTATTATATATTTTGAGGTTTACTAAATGGATGCTAATAAGACTTCATGCAATTTTCCGTGATTTTTGTTCCTAGCTATGAAAGTACACATATAATGATGACATAGAATTTTAAACGCCATCTAGCGTCAATTAAGTGAATGACTGTTGGTTTTGCATCAGAGTCTGTTGATTTTGAAAACGATTCTGTTGATTTTGTTGTTCGGTTTGTTTTTAAAATTAGTTGATAGTTTTGCATTAACATCTTTTTTACTCTTTCCGCCGCCCATAGGCGGCCTTTCATCCTTAATTTTTATTAAGCTGCTCATCATTAGTCTACTGATTAAGTCTATAAGCAGACATTAATTATGTGTAAACCCAATCGGGGCGGATCCACTCAACGCGAACAAGTAAAAGGGGCGAAACCACTCAGAGTGAACAAAGAATGGGGGCGAAACCACCCACATTCAAACTTGATATTCGTATATCTTAGACTGGTATTGCCTGTCTTTACCGTACGCAGGAAAAGACAGGTGATCACCGCCATTAAAGCCAGGGATTCCTGGCTTGAGTGACGCGCCATCTATCGCCGCTGCTCTACGATACAGCATGGGAAATAATCACACAATAAAGCGATCTCCTGACTCAGTGGGTGAGCTTTAAACCGATTTATGTTTCCTGCGGTAATCAAATATGTCAATTCTAATAAACAAAACTAGTTTGCAGAGTTGTTGCAGTTCTATTTTATCCAATTAATGTATGCCATGTAATGTGATAGGGGCTTGCTGATCTGTTATATCACTTTTTTCCGTAGCCCGTCGGTAAAACAACCACGGTATCGTTATTCAAAGCACTTTTAATACTTCTTCCTTGCAAAGGCTTTAGAAAATTTAATGTTGAATATCTTTCACAATTTATTTCTGCCAATGCAATTTTCGTAAGCAAGGAAAATTCATCCATAATGTTGCACTCTATGATCTGTTTTGGTTTCCCCGAGGTATTTAAATTCTACGTCAGCGAGAGTTTTTATCAGCCAATGAGAGCGGCCGGTAGTGCATTTAATGATCACCTGTCTATATATATCGGATATCAGACAGGCAGGCCACTCTACGAATATCTAGGCCCTGATTAGGCTGATATTCCATTATAATTTAGAATGTAAAACTTTTTTGGCCCAGCCTTCATTTCTAATCGAAGCACATGCATGAATAAAGCCAAATGCTATTTTAAAAATCGCCTCCGATGGAGCATTTGACAGAAGCTTTTCATGTCCAAAATTTGTAAACACGTGCCATAACGATTTCCATGTTTCGGGGGAGAAAATGATCAGATGGCTAATCCTGCTCAATTTTCACCGACTTACCAAGAGATCAACCTGGACTTCGTCGTCAGCTTCTTTGTTTACACCACGATTACTTTTAAAGTCGATATTTTCCCCATTTTTTGAACAGATCTTGCTGCCTACTGTTCGCCATGGCGTTCCTGTTGATTGTCACACAAGCCTGTACGCATGCGTGATATTCTTCCCGCCATTTAAGAGGATGATTTCAACGCAGTGTTTATATATTTAAACAATAAAATACTTTATTTGTTTGTCATTACTGGAATTAACGGAAACAGCTGTTGCAGAAAAAATACATAACCCGCGTAAATTTTTTCTGCAATAGCTGCGACCGTTAATTCCAGTAATAACAAACAAAGAAACTTAAGACATTTTATTGTTTATATTTATATCTCTTTAAATAATCATTTAAACATGTTAAAGTAGGATTAAAAAGATTAATTATTGTATTAATGATGCGAACGTCTTTATACGTTTCATTGATGGAACAGCCACTGATCAAGAAATTAGTACATGCGACATGCCGACTGTAGTTCATGCGCAGTGATTAACGCAATGGGTTTTCTTATGAAATAAAGAAGAAAATATTCAGTGGATGTAAATATATTTTAGCTACGCTTCATATGATTCGAGGAACTCCGAGTGGTGGCAAATGACGTCATATTTGTTATATGTAGTACAGTGACATACTTTTTTTTTATAATTTGCTTGAACAGTGCGACATTTATTAACTCTGGACACAACCTTTCGGAAAGCGAGATTCCTAGTTCTCGTACATACGAAAACTAAGCTACATTTGAGTAGAAAAACTTTTTTTATTTTTATAATGTAGGCAGTATTTATAACCTAAAATGACTCCAGTGTAAATGCCATGTTTGGGGGAAATCTATCGTTCAAGTATTTTTTAAGGGACCTTCTCAAAGTATCGATACATTTACTATAGAATAAAAGAGGAAAGTGCCTATTTTAACAAGTTTTAAAGCAAACATACAGATTTTGTTTTTTCCGCAAAAACTTTACCTTGCCTATAACTTTTGACTGGGTGGGTTTATGGCTTTCATATTTCACAGGTGTATTCCTTGCGACAAGACCTTTCTTTGGGTACCACCAATTTGACCTCTTGGCCTTGGAGTTTGACACACTTTCACAGTAAAATTTCAAACTTTAACTTTGGGCATAACTTTTGAACTCCACCAAATTTGACCTCTTGACCTTGATTTTGGAGTTTGACATACTTTTACGGTAAAATTTCAAACTTCTATTTTGGGCTTAACTTTTGAACGGTGCTAGGACTTTCATAAATCATATATGTTTTATTTGAGAAGACCTTCCATTGGATACCAACAACTTTCACCTTTTGACCTTGACCTGGGAGATTGACCTATTATGGCCATAACTTTTGAACGATAAGGGTTAGGGCTTTCATATTTTAAATATGTTATCTTTATGAAAAGACCTTTCATTAGATACCAACAAATTTGACACTTTGACTTAGAAGTCTGGTCTACTTTTAAAATCTTTTACCTTGGCAATAACTTTTGAACGGTTGGCGGTAGGACTTTTTTTACTTCACATATGTATTTTTTGTGACAAAACCTTCCATTGGATACCAAGAAACTCTGACCTTTTGGTATTGGCATTGGAGATTGACATACTTTTTAAAAACTTTAACCTTGGTAATTACTTTTGAACGGATAGGGCTAGGGCTTTCATACATCCAATATATAATCTTTGTGACAAGGCCTTTCTTTAAAAACCAACAATCTTGACCCTTTGACTTTGACCTTAGAGTTTGACCTACCTCTTAAAAAAGTTAACCTTAACCATAACTTTTAAACAGGTGGTGCTAGGGTTTTCACATTTGTACTTCTTGTGAGAAGTTCTTACTTTTGGTATGAACATGTTTAATTTGCATTTGAGAAAATTTAACTTTCGCTATGTTGTCATACGGGGGCATCAGTATTTCACAAACACGTCTCTTTTTTATTTCGAGTTCACATAGATTTGTTGATATCGAAGTTAAGGCCATTAGAATAGACTTCTTTTATTTAAAAGTTCTTGAATAAATTTCACGATATAAACATGATCAATACAAAAACAGAATTGCTAATAACGAGGCACCATTGTACCTGATCCCAACAAAGTTGGAAGGCCTTGTCTCCAAAGATTTCATAGATCTTGTCAATGAGAAGCTCAAGCATTTGATATCGACCTCGGAGTATTGTGTAGCGAATCAGAACGTTTTAAAGGCTAAACTTTCAGAATACCAATGAAAACGTTTCAAAATTTATGCGAGCAGCAGCTGTATAGGATGTCAAAATATTTTAATGAATTAATCATGAGCAATGATTGTGTAAGCTGTAAATTAAAAAGTCCTATGATGACATTATTTCTGGTAAAATTTTGCAATTAAAAAAAGTTGTTTGATTTTTAGCCGGGCTTATTGCTCAAAGAGCAATTGCCGGCTTATGTGATCCTGTTCAAGGCAGGATGTTGACCCCATAGTCGCCATTTTAAAGTTACGTGCAAAAATATAGTTCTTACTCTCAACCGCTTTTGAGATGATACAAACGCTATATAAAGCAACAAAAATAAAACGAAGTTTTATCTAAATAAATAAACATATTCAGTACCTTTGAAAACTTCAGTCTTAAGTCAAAGAACATACTTCATTGTTGTAAGGAGTTTTGATAATCAGTGTTACATGAATCTTAGTTCCCTACAGTTACGAAGAAAAGCAGGAGAGGGAACCAGACTGGCCTGTTTATTTTCAGTTGCGGTACCAGATTAATTCTGATTCTGACAAAATCGGACCGTGGTATTAGGATAGAAACTCACTGTCAGTGTCTTATCATTTATATTGATAGATTTAAAATGATTTTTTCATCAGAATTTTAAATCTGATATTTTTTTTATCTGTTAATACAACATAAACGTATTATTCATGCAAGAAATTCATTATGATTCTACTCTGTAAATGAGCCCGGCTCTCTGTACTTCTGAGAACTTTGATTCTTTTAGTTTCCGCGTCTGATTAACAAACACTTCTCAATTTAATACGAGGGGCGTTCAATAAATAATGTCATCAGCTCGATAACATACAAAATAGAAATCATATACCATTAGGATTGAATATTTAATGAGTTGATAACAGTTTATTTGACGATTTTTCATCACACAGTTCCATTATGAGAAGCTGGAAAACAAGTGCTATTCGAGACACTGCATTAAAAAAGAATAGTCAAGAATCAGTAAACTAGTTTATTTAACAAATGAATGGTTTGTCATTGTGAGCATGAAGATAATAGAATTTTAAAAAATGCTTTGCATTTACGAAATGGACGGAAAATGGTCTTTGTGCCTTTCCGATCGCCATAAGAGTTTCCTGTTTTTTCAAGCGTTAAATTCCTGTAGTATTCGTAGTAACCCGTAATGCAATTCTCATTCAGCTGATTTGTCAGTTAAAGTCATTTTGGTGCCTCATTTGCTAATCTGACACCAAAAAATAAAGACCCAGTTCCCATGCAAAAATTTGTATAAAAAGAAATTCATATTCATGACTGCAGAAAATTGTATCATAAAGAATACTTATTTAAGTTTGAAGGAATTCAAGAGAGATCGATTGAAGTACATTTCTACAGATATTAGGGCGTTGAAAACTGAAACGCAACATTACTTTTCTGTTTAGTTTCCACGTGCTAGTCACTTCCTAGCCACATTTCCGTGAATAATTTACCCTATCTCGCTGTAGTCTCGCTAACTTACGCCAGAGCCACTGCCAGAGCTAATCTGAACTCCTCGGGTTTTATAATTTGCAGAAAACCGAAAAATAAAACGTTCCGAACACATTAGTAGGGGTGGTAATGTTGGTGTCTCATTCGCTAATGTAACGCAAAAATATAGTCCCGGTTCCCATGCAAAAATATTTGTCAAAAAAAAAAATAATAATTCATGACAGCAGAAAATTGTATCATAGAGAATACTTATTTAAGTTTGAATGAATTCAAGAAAGATCGATTAAAGTACATTTCTACAGATATTATAGGGTGGTGAAAACTGAAACGCAACATAATTTTTCTGTTTACCATGTCTCCACGTGCTGGTCACTTCCTAGCCACATTTCCGTGAATAATTTATACCCTATCTTGCTGTGTTCTCGCTAACTCTCGCCAGAGCTACTGCCAGAGCTGTTTTTATAATTTTCTGAACACCGAAAAATAAAAGGTTCCGATCACATTAGTAGGAGTGAATGAGATACACTTGACAAAACAGCAAAAGCCTGAAAAGAGCAAATTAAAGAAAATTTGTAAGAGCACAAAAACAGTTTTACTGGTATATGCTATATTTAGGTCACCTGAGTCACTCAGGTGACCTACAATGTATTGCTATCCGTTTTCGTCCGGCGTGGTGCGTCGTCTATCGTGAGTAGTATAAACCGTCTAGATGGCTGGGTCAACTGAGTGCACTTTTGGGGCTGAGGGGGGATAGCTGGGTCAACTGAGTGCACTTTTAGGGTTGGGGGATAGCTGGGTCAAGCGAGTGCAGCCCCTGGGGGGATAGCTGGGTCAAGCTAGTTCAGCCCCTGGGGGATAGGTGGGTCAAGAGAGTGCAGATTAGGGGGGTCTGTGGGGGATAGCTAGGTCAACTCAGTACAACCCTAACCCTAACCCTAGGGGGGACTAGGTGGGCTAGTACATAGTCCCTATATGTCCTATACGGGGTGTTTACACTGTGTTTACATTTTACTATATACGCTGCTACTACGATTCACAACGCTGCTACTACGATTTTGGCAGCGAGTCAAAAGAATGTGATTATGACGTCACGCTTCACAGTCTAGACAGTCTAGCCTAACCAGTTCAAACTGGATTTTCTGAAAACAATAACAAAAGACAGATGATAACAAGGCAATTTTATTCAGAATTCAGAAATCTATTCTCCAAATGTTGTTTTTCGTGTCAGCAATAAAGGGAATGCGACAATATATATACACTGTATAAGTCTCTGGAAGAATTCCTTGTTTCTTTCTATGTTCGAATTCACGAAAACAGCTTTCAATCTGGTTTTTCCATCCACTTTCCTTACAATAACAACTGAG